GTAGGTCGAGTGAAAAGTAGGTCACTGTGACCTACTTTTCAATTTATAGGACTACAGTATTTCGGGTACTAATTGGCTTAGAATTATCAAACTTTGTCAGTTTGTGCATCTTGGGTCTTCAGAGTAGGTTGACTGAAAAGTAGGTTACCATGACTAAATTTAAATATTTCGGGTACTAATTGGCTTAGAATCATCAAAATTTGTCAGTTGATGCATCTTGGGTCCTTGGAGTAGGTCGAGTGAAAAGTAGGTCACTGTGACCTACTTTTCAATTTATAGGACTACAATATTTTCAGGTACTATTTGGCTTAGAATCATCAAAATTTGTCACTTTATGTATCTTGGGTCCTTGGAGTAGGTCAACTGAAAAGTAGGTCACCGTGACCTACTTTTTAATTTATATGACTATAATTAAATATTTCAGGTACTAATTGGCTTAGAATCATTAAATTTTGTCAATTGATGCACCTTGGGTCTTCGAAGTAGGTCGACTGAAAAGTAGGTCACCATGACTTACTTTTGATAATTTATGGTTTTATTTAAATATTTCAGGTACTAATTGGCTTCGAATCATCAAACTTTGTCAGTTGATGCATCTTATGTCCTCAAAGTATGTCATCTGAAAAGTAGGTCACTGTGACCTACTTTTGAAATTTTATGGATATAATTTTAAAAATATTTTAGGTATTAATTGGAATCATCAATCTTAGTTGATTCATCTTGGGTCCTCAGAGAATGACAAGTGATAAGTAGGTCACCATGACCTACTCTCAGGTACTAATTGGCTTAGAATCATCTTGGGTTCTCAGTGTTTCATCTAAAATGTAGGTCATGATGACCTACCTTTGGAATTTCAAGGCTTTATCGAAATATACAGGATACTTAGAGGCTTCAAACAGAAGTGATAGGTTGTACAGTGTATCAGAAGAGCGATTCAAGGCCCTTGGGCCCCTTGTAAATTGTACAATTCATGCCCCCCAGTGGAGGGGTGGGGCCACAAAATAGGGAATCAAAGATTTACATTGAAATATATAGGAAAAATCTCTCAAGAACCACAGAGCCAGAAAAGATGAAACTTAATCTGGAAGCCTCCTAAGGTAGTGTAGATTCTAAATTGTTCAAATCACATCCCCCAGGGGTTGGGTGGGGCCACAGTTTAACATTGAAATACAGTTGAAATTCAGTATCTCGAACACGGATATCTCAGATACCATGGATATGTCTGATTTGGAAGTCCTAACCACGAATTTCTTGAGTATTTTACCCTCGATATCTCGAACCCCGGATATCTCAAGTTTTTTCTCAGTCCCATCAAGTTTGAGATAACAAGGTTTGACTGTATTTATGAAAAATCTTAATCAAGAAGCCCAATGGCCTTAAACGGTCACCTGAGTATAATACAACATTCCAAAGAATCCATAGAAGTATAAAGCAAAATTAACAAAAATGAAGCTATGTTGCCCAAGAATCTGGTAAAAATACGCTTGCTTATTGTAACATGCGAGACCTGAGTGATCTCCTTGGGATCGTACTTGGTTTGCCAAAGTCTTACGTGGATGATAATGAATGCAAAATATACAAATACAATGGACAGTTGCCTAGAGTGTAAGGTACTGAATATATACAGATAATGTATTTGTCACTTGCCTAGTGCTACAATTAAGTACACAAAGAAGTCTCTTGGCTACACAAACAACTTAGCTGCTTGCCACTTGGTACCAAGACTTGCCTCTTGGGTATACAAACAATTTGGCAATACTTGTTACCTGCACTCACCACTTGGCTATATGATGTGACAATATGCCACCTGAGGCACCCTTGCACATCATAAATATGCACTTATTCCATCGGCTTAATACCCAGGAGCAGAGGAGGAGATTTCAAAAGAATAAATGCATTTTCAATATTTAATCATAAGAGTCCCAGCCTAACACCAGAAACCCTGAATCCATGCTATTCACAAAATTTGGAAGAGGCGCCCTTGCTCATCATAACTATGCATTTAGTTTGCTTGCTTAATATCCAGGAGCAAAGGAGAACATTTATAAAGAATTAATGCATCTCAGTATAAAATGAACAGAACCCCACCCTAACATCAGAACTGAATCCATGGGCCATGAAATTCACAAGTTTGGAAAAGGCACCCTTGCTCATCATAACTATGCATTTAGTTTGTTTGCTTATACCAAGGAGAAGAGTTTTTTTTTATATAAATAATGCATTCTCACTATATATTCAACAGAGCCCCATCCTAGCAACAGAACCCCCAACTCAAGGGCCATGAATTTCACAATTTTGGTAGAGGGCTCAATACTTTTTATGTCACCTGAGCCGAAGGCTTAAGTGAGCTTTTCCGATCGAAATTTGTCCATTGTCTCTCATTGTTACAAACTTTTCACATTTTCATCTTCTCAAGAACCACTGGGCCAATTTCAACCAAAACTTGCCACAACGTATCCTTAGGTAAAGGGGATTCAAGTTTGTTCAAATGGAGGGCCACGCCTTCTTCCAAGGGGAGGTAATTATGACTTCCTGAAAAATTAATGGCATCATTTAAAAAGCTACATAAGAAAAATCTTTAAAAATCTTCTTTTTGAGAATAGCAAAGCTGTACGTGATTGGTCATATTTATATGGAAGCATCCTCAGGTAGTATAGATTCAAATTTGATCAAATTATGAAGTTTCTTCAAATCATGACCCCCGAGGATAGGGTGTGGCCACAATGGGTGATCAAATTTTTACACAGGAAAAATCTTTAAAATTCTTCATAAGAACAGTAAAGCCATGATTGGTCATAATAATATAAAAGCATCCTCAGGTAATGTATAAGATTTAAATTTGTTCACGCAGGTGAGTTAAGGCTAGGTATAGGCATTTCTATGCAAATAAACTAATTAAAATGCCTAAGGACTATATCTATTATACAGAGAAAGTTAAAACTTATTGTCTAATACATACTTGGTACCCATGACATGAGATTAGCCAGTATACATTATGACGTCATATTATGATATAATAAGACCATTGTTCTTTACTACACAAAATTACAATGGACATCAACAAAAATGCTTCGGCCCTGGGCATGCTCTATTTTATTTAACTGAATCAAGGTGTATTAAGAAGCAATATATCCCAAAGTTTGCTGGTATTGCTGCACAAATATCAACAGCTCAGTTGTATAATTTCTATTTGTAATTGTTTTAAGTTGAATAAGGGTAAAAATGTACAGTCCAGTTTAAGTTTCCTCAAATTCTGACCAAATGAGAAAATGCCAAGGATTTGTGCAGCAGTTTTATTAATCTTAATAGAATATTCTTCTTAGCATTATACAATTTTTATGTAAAAATAAATAGGGTAATCCCTTGTGCCGAAGCTGTTTTGTTGATGTGATTTATTACCTCAGTAGTTAGATCAGTGACGTCATAATGTGAACTGGCTATAACATATTGTGGGTACTAAGTATGCATAAGAAAATAAATCAAAACTTTCTCTGAATAATAAATATACCTCTTTTGCATATTAGCTCATTTGCATAGAAACGCCTATACCTAGCCTTAACTCACATGTGCAAATCATGACCCCCCAGGAGAATAGAGAGGTCATAACAGATAATCATAATTATACAAAGGATTATAAAGGATATATCAATAAAAATTTTTATCTTAACAACAGCAAAGCCATTATATATCATATTAATTCACAAGCATCCTTAGGGTGTAGATTCAAGTTTGTTCAAATTATTACCTCCCCCTCTTTGAACCACTTTTATATTTAAACTTTTCAATACTGATTTCTGCTTTTTTCCTAGCCAAAGTGCTCAGGTGAGCGATGTGGCCCCTGGGCCTCTTGTTACATTCATGGGAATAGTTTGACTTCTTGATGTTCAGGAATAAAGAAGATTTTTAAAGATTGTACTAATTTTGATGGTTTTAGCCCAACCCCTCAGGCACCAGGGTGGCAGGGGCCATGAATTTTACATTTTTGTACTCCTTCTCCCATAAATGCTAAATGCCAAAATCAGATGAAACTGGTTCAATTGTTCCAGAGAAGAAGCTGAAAATGTTCAAAAGTTTTTGACCTACGGACGACGATGGACAAAAAACAGACCCGGCAAAAGCCATACTAGCCAAAAATTCATTTTACATCTACGAGAAATGAAAGGCCACTAGTATTACCTGTATCTTAAATAGATCTGTACAACTGGCTCTTTAGAGAGTACCAGTGTACCAAGTTTGATGTCTGGCAGGGAACTTTAACCTTTGATCTTGAGACCTCAAAATCAGTAAGGGTTCAACTCCTCAGGGGGGTTCCAGTGTACCAGAGGCCTGTTCAACAGAGCGAACGTTCGTGAGCGCTCGCCAAAATTCCTTATCCCTTCAACAGAAATGTTTGTCAGAGCTCGCTCTGTTGAACAGGCCTCAGGTGTGATGTCTATCAAGTAAAGGGTTCTCAACTCTCAAGATATTGAGCAGACAACATTTTCCTTTGTCCAAAGAAGTTTGACTTTTTATCTTCTGATGTCAAAATCATGTAGGGCCTTAAATGGGATCATCTACTTCTTAGAGAGCACCAGTGACCAAGTTTTATGTTTGTCAAGGATATTGATGTGACACCAATTGGTCTACAGACCTACTGACCCTCCAACATATGGTGCAAACCAAAATCCCCCCTTTTTCAAAAGGGGGCATCAAAACCCTTGCCAGATACTGTAAACCAACTTTTATTCGCGTGCGAGAAATATTCACGAGATTCGTGACCTACATTAACTCGCGAATATTAATTGCCGCGAACCATTTATTTTACTTTGTATTTGCAGAGAATGTTTCCTGAGTCGCGAAAATTAATCGTCGCGGATTGATTTTAAACTGACGAATTGCGAATAAAAGATGAGGTGAATAATAGTTGGTTTACAGTAAATGCTTCAAGCTCATGAAAAAATAAATTTGAAAAGAACATTTTTTCCACAGATTTTTAATAGTGGAGAAATGTAAACAGTCATTAAAATTACAATTAAAAATTAAAATTAAAATTAGATTATAAATCTAATACAAAAACTGTAATGATGTCAATTATTAAAAATCTTGAAACACAGTAGTTTAAAGCTATTAAAATTCTAAATTTGAAGACTGTAGGTTGTCAAGAATGGCTGATTTCTTTAGTTTCTTGGATGGTCCATCTAAAAATAAAGCACAAATACTTGAAAATGTCAATCAAAAATATATTTTCTTTTTTCAAATTTAAAATATGCACAGTACATGATGAATAAGAAGAATCAACATTCACATAATTGTTAGTGTGACCAGGAAGTAAATAAACCTAAAGTGTTATACCACGATGAGGAGAAACCAAAGGCAATTTCCCTGCATAAACATGTGGGTGGTGAAAGTATTTACTAATGTATGTTCCACATCGCTAACTTCCTTACTTTGTTTATTAACAACTAATAAAAAGGGACCTTTTCTATCATAATACTCTAGATTTTTCTTCTTCTTTTTTTTTAAAAAAATTCTATTGAAAAAGAGGTAAAATTCTTTCAATACTTTAAGAAAGATAAATGGAAGGATAAGGGCTTTGAAAATGCATTTGCATTAGTGCTAACTCCCACTACATGATATCATGTTAATAAACTGTCAAAACCCCTGAATTTTGATTCCTTTTCCATACTCTGTTGATTGCTAATTCCTATTCCATACTTCTTTGAATCAATTCATATTCCATACCTCCTTGATTGCTAATTTCATACTCCCTACATGTATAATACCAATTCCTATTCCATTCTCCCTTGAACACCAATCCTATTCCATACTCCCTTGAATACTAATTCCGATTCCAACACCCTTGAATACCAATTCCATTCTCCCTTGATTGCCAATTTCTATTCCACATATATTGAATATTCATATTCCATACTTCCTTGAATACTATATTCCATACTCCTTGAATACTATATTCCATACTCCTTTGAATACCAATTCCTATTCCATTCTCCCTTAATTGCCAATTTCTATTCCATATATATTGAATATTCATATTTCATACTCCCTTGAATACTAATTCCCTTTTCCATACTCCTTTGAATACTAATTCCTATTCCATACTCTCTAGAATACCAATTCCTATTCCATTCTCCCTTGACTGCCAATTTCTATTCCATATATATATATATATATATATATATATATATATATATATATATATATATATATATATATATATATAAAATATTCATTCCTATTCCATACTCATTAAATTAAAACCAATTTCCATTTCATACTTCCTTGGTTGCCAATTCCTATTCCATACTTTTCTTGTTGCCAATTCCTATTCCATAATTCTTTTGTTGCCAATTCCAAACTTTCTTGAATATCAATTTCTATTCCATACTTCAATGACTGTAAATTACATACCCCCTGAATACAAAGTAGTATTTCAAACTAACTTGACTTCCAATTCCTATTCAATGTTTCCTTAAAAACCAATTCTTATTCCATACTCCCTTGGCTTTATTTTTGAAGCTAAGTAGGCCCCTTCTACATTATTAACCAGAAAAATAACCAAGAGATTACTGACCTTCATGGAAATGTTCAGCCGTTTTCTTACGAAGCTGATCTAGATCCTCCGCACTTTCTGCCCACTCCAACACAAGTCTCCTTCCGTACAAATGTGTGCTGTGACAAAGGGCATCAAAAGCTCTCTAATAGAATAAAAAGGTTGAAAACAAATTATTTTGCCGGTATCTCTTGCTACTCAGAGACTGAAGAATATTGGTGTGTTCCCATCTCTTGGGTGTTTCTTGCAGTGTGTACAATTAAGTCTTGGACCAGTGTCTTGTTGAAGAACCCTTGATTATGGTCATAATAATTACATTGAATTATTCTAACTTCCTGTAAATGGACAAAATCTTAACTATACAGATATCCAAGTGTTTGGTCAGATATATGTACATATATATGACTGATGGAGATAACGAACAGTATTCCAGCTCAAAAGTCCATTAAACATTACAAAACAGGAGCAGAGCAAACATGGACCTCTAAGACATCAGAGGTCGGATCAGGTGCCATGGAGGAGTGAGCATCCCCTGCTGACCGATCTCACCCGCCATGTGCTCCTTGTCATGATCGGGAAATAACAGAAAAATCTGTCGACAATTCAGTGTGTAAGTAATAGCCTAACAATTAGTATGAAAAAAGTCAGTCAGCATTTGACTTAATGAAAGATTGTATTTGCTGATACATGATGATGATAAATATTGATTTCAATCCTCATCACTCTGAAGTATCTATTGCTCTCCATCACTCCCATCCAATTTCTTCACAAGTTAACTTTGTTAGTCTAAATTTGTGGATTTTACAAAGGAATACTCTTTGCACTTTTTGCAGAGTCAAACCTGACAGTATCTCAAACTCAATGGGACCGAGAAAAAACTTTGAGACATCCAAGGATTCAAGATATCCAGGGTAAAATACCCCGGTACTTGAAGAATAAGGGGTTGGGACTTTCAAATCTCTCAACTTATCCATATTCTTGATATCAGTGCTTGAGATACCGAAGTTCACCTGTACATGTAGGGATTCAAACAAGATTTTCATAATAATTTGGGTTTATCAGGGGCTTGCCCCTGTTGCTGAATTGGAGATTTGTTACTTTCAAACAATTTCTTGAAAAGAATATTTAGGTAAAAACAATATATAATACATCATGTATATAGAGGATATTCAATGTTTTGTAGATGAATATGGAATTTATTTCACGAGTGGGACAGGATTTTTTGATATTTTCACGAGTGCAAAGCACGAGTGAAAATATCAAAAAATCCTGTCTCACGAGTGAAATAAATTCCATATTCATCTACAAAACATTGAATTTTCTGTTTATTACATTTTCTTTGATTTTCCCTTTGCCTCTGTCTTTTCTTAACAAAGTGTCATAGGCTTGACGTCATAGTTGAGCGGTTGAGACGTCACAGCTTAGCAGTTCTGAGATTGAAAACATTACATAGCATGGCTTTTAGCAACATATTTGGGAAGAAATTTGCAGTTTTAGCTCTATCAAGTTACTATCTCTATCTTATGACAGTCCAGAAATTATTTTTTACTTACTTTGATATCCTTTCACACTGTGAGAGAATATCATTTTGGTATCCTTTCACACTGTGAGAGAATATCACTTTTATTCAATAAATAAATCACAGTATTTCACTGTTGAAAATGTAATAAATGCTTGCCTACTTCAACAATGTACTGTAAACATTTTACATTTTATCATGTACTCTATTTAGTGCCTTTGGCAGAAAGCAGTCCAATTCTGCTAAATCAAGTACCAGTACATCGCTAAATGTAATGTATGTATATATTTATATCTATGATAGCATGTTCAGAATTCACAATATCAAATCTTTGCTAACTTGTAAAATCAATTTCCACTAAATATCGTACATGCTAAATATAATACATTAACAGTATTCTAAAAATATATATATATAAAAATAATATTAGAAAAGCTTATTCAAGTCCGGCTTATTTGGATTGCACATAACGCTATCGAATTTACTACACATTTTAAGATAAGTAAGATCAACAAGTCATATTTCCTTTTATAAATTCAACAATGCTGTATATGATTTATTATATTTACCAGTAAATATAAGTAAGACAATTACAGATCAACATTGTAGAAAAGAAACAATTTAAATCAATAGCTTCCTCAGAGATAACTGGATTATGCAATAAGATGTGGGAGTTAGTCTTATTTCTACAGAACATCACTAAAATGACTTGTTTGTGTGGTGCCAGAAGATTGATTTTTCCATTAACATGTCCAAAGACAGCAAGCTTAAAAGCATTAGCATTTAGGCTTTCTATTTGAACCGAGTCCATTACTGTTTAATTCTGTCGGGTTTCATATTTTCTATCAAGAAACATAACTTATTCAGTTTTAAATTCAAACAAATACCTCATGCCAAAATTCTTGTAAAGAATTTTCATAAAAAACTGTTGAAATGATGTCTTATTTTTTCAACACTGAACCAAGCTTCCAAACAAATTAATTTGAATTAATTCAGAAAATTGTTGCAATTATAAAAACTATCTCACTCCTCTCTTTAGGGAGTGGAAGTTGCATCAAGTCACTACATCGAAACATATTTTACAGCAAACACATGTACACTTAGGCCTAAGAAACAAGAGGCCTAGAGGCCGCACTGCTCACCTGAGCACACTGGCTAGGAAAACCCAGAAATCAGTTCAGTATTAATCTACACTAACTGAGAATGCATCCATATTTCTTTGATGAATCATGGAAGATTTTACAAGATTTTTTCTTGTACGATTGATCTTCTGTTTTGGCCAGCCCTACCACTGGGGGACATGATTTGAACAAACTTTAATATACACTACCTGAAGATGCTTCTGAATTAATATGACTAATCACGGCTCTACTGTTATTGAGAAGAAGATTTTTAATGATTTTCCTGTGTATTCCTTTGTATTACTATAATCCATTCTCTGTTCTCGGCCCCTCTTTACTCCTTGGGGTCATGATTTGAACAAATTTAAATCTACCTGAGGATGCTTCTATATTAATATAACTAGTCATGGCTTTGTTCTTGAGAAAATTTTTCTTATATATTCCTAATTTCCTATGTATAACTTTGATACCCTGTTGTGGCCCCACTCTATCCAGGAAGGGGGGGGGGTTGATTTGAACAAACTTAAATGTACACTAACTGAGGATGCTTCTGTATTAATATGACTAATTATGGATTTGCTATTCCTTAGAAGAAGATTTTTTAAAGATTTTTCCTATGTAAAACTTTGATCACCCACTGTGGTCCCATCCTACCCCCGGGGGTCACGATTTGGACAAACTTGAATCTGCACTACTTGAAGATGCTTCCATATAAATATGATTGTCTTTGCTGTTCTTGAGAAGATTTTTAAATATTTTTTTTCCCTTTGTATTCCTATGTAAAACTCTAATTGCCCACTGTGGCCCCATCCTAACCCCCAGGGCCATATTTTGAACAAATTTGAATCTACACTACCTAAGGTACTTTCACCTTAAGACTAATATTTTTTGGCCTAGTGGTTCTTTGGATTCAATTAATTTTTCACTTGTTCATAATTACATGTATCTCCCCTTGGAAGAAGGTGTGGCCCTTCATTTGAATAAATTTGAATCCCCTTTACCCAAGGATACTCTGTGGCAAGTTTGGTAGTAATCAGCTGAGTGATACTTGGGAAGAATTTGAAAATGTGAATGTTTACAGACAGCTGGACAGCTATACAGATGCTGGAAAAAATGTGATCAGAAAAGTTCAGTGAGCTAAAAAATGTTTGTTTACTAATCACATGCTAATTAAGAATAAATAGGGTCGGTATGTAGGATTTTGCTTTTATTTTTTTATTTTTTTATTTTTACATAAAGGCATAATTTTGACAGCTTTAAAATAGGCTGCTAAAAAGTGACATTAGTAATCTACCAAATCTAGCCTGACCTTGGCCAAGATCATCTCTTCATCACCACCAACAAAATCATCATGAATATTCTCATTCCATAAACAGTCTCTCAAATATATTAGCCCCAAACCATCACAGCACCTAGTATTTTATCTCTTGCTTTTAAACCGTTATTTGTACAGTAACAGGTAAACACTAATTATTATATATATTTATTTCAGTTTCTGAAAAAAACATCTACTTGAAATAAGTACAAATTTCCAGCTTATTGCTACTTCATTAACATGTACCATGTATTCTACTCCAGGAAATTTTTATATATTCAAGTTCATTGTTGCCCAAGTTAGCATAAATTTATCACAAATTTTCACATGAATCATGTTTTTTTTTTAATGTATGGTACAACATTAAATTGCAAAGTATCAAATATGTGCAACTCCTTATTGTAAATTTTTTTTTTCAACCTGCACCGATGTCAGTAAGATGAGGCCCATGGGCAACAACCCTCACCCATGAACATGATTGCTGAAAATTTCAAGAAATGACATGTTTGATATATAATGTCCTCAACTTCACATCAACAAGGCCAAGATTAAGAACTTGAGTGGTCATTCACCTTCAACAGCAACAATGGATTGCTATCACAGCCCTAACACACATCTTTGAAAGATATTGAGTACACAGTCATTAGAAAATATTTCTGAAAAGTAGTTCAAAGGACAAGATCAAGGGGTTAGAAACCATTGCATGAAACAAAAGTTCTTATGTTACCTACATGCAAAATATCAAATTTCTCTTCTTTTACCATACAAAAGATACAGGCTAATTAACAGACAGCTATGCAGTAGAGTGTTAACTTCGAGCAAAAACTAGCAGTGGATTACTTTTGTTTGTAATTCCATTATATGGTGGAAATGATAAAAGGTCTCGTTGCATATTTTTTAGCAGTGCAGTTTTATGTTGATACACGTATTTTCACTAAAGGGTTGGGCAATTTCAGTTCGGTGTTCACCTTTACACTATTGTGCTATAGACTTGCTCTTACATTTACTGTGCAATGTATCTGAAAACTCTTGTTGGGTTATCTCCAGTGTTTGGGTTTAACCTCTTGCTGACATATCAAATATGTTCATTATATCCCACTTTAGGTATCTCTTGTAAGAATGGACAAAGAGTCATTTGGCAAAGTGATCCTTCCCTGTTGCTCTGCTTTGTAGGTGAAACAAAAATGTAGCCTTGCTCCTGAGTAGAGAATTCTGAAGATATTCACCTTCATATTCTTTTTGGAAAGCTTAATGACTCTATGCACCGAAACATCTAAACCTTAAAAGGGGGGGGGGGGTGTCATGGAAAGGGGATACAAGTCCCTTAATTTAAGGGGGGTCTAAAAGAAATTTTAAAAGAAGGGTTCAAAATGTTACATTTTTATGCATTTTTTGTTGAAATCAATATATTTTATCATATACTAGCGGAAAAAAGAAAATGTGCATTATTTAAAGTACAAAATAAAAAATTAAATATCAGTGACAATATATTAAATTCAGTAGCATGATTCACAAATGTATTGTTTACAAATATGCAGAATTTATGTTTATGTCATAAAACGTCACTTGTAAGACCTTAAAAAGACAATGGTACTTGGAATGCGATTAACAAACTTAATACCGCATAAGGCCATGCACCATTTGCATTCAAACGTTTGACACTGGTGACTCAATGATGACACTAAATTGTTCAAAAATGCCTTGGGAATGTTGTTCCAGATATTGGTCAATTCCTGGCCTAATTCATCCAACGTCACTGGCTGGTTTGGTAAACCATGTAACTGTCTTTCCATTTCATCCCATATGTGTTCCATAGGTGATAAGTCAGGTGAAACTGCTGGCCAGGGCAGGACATCGACATTCTGCTGGGCAATAAAGTCTCTGACAACATGGGCAACATGCGGTCTGGCCTTATCCTGTTGCAGGGTAAAGGGACTTTGTTGTCTCTGTATGAACGGTATCACATGACATTGGATTATTTCATCCCTGTAGCGAATGCCTGTCAGGTTTCCACTGATTATCTATAAAGGGGTCCTATCATGAGCTGTATTACCACCCCACACCATTAAGCTACCACCTCCAAATTGTGGACGCTGCACTACACAAGCATCAGAGTAACGCTCCCCATCCCAACGATAAACCCTTCGGCGACTGTCACTGCTGTCAAAATGAGAAACATTGGCCCAATCTTGAAATCAGTACCTCAGATGTCTCTGACACCATGCTAATTGTGCAGTTCGATGAGGTTGGAGCAGTGCTGGACGTATCACATGACATCTATGTCTGATGTTATGCTCGCACAAGCAATTACGTACAGTTCTTGCACTTATGCACCTAAGACCGGGGATGCTAGGATTAGTCAGACTTGCTGTCTGAAAATGATTTTGTAGATGCATGAGTCTGATATGGTTATCTTGGCGAACTGATGTCACGGGGGACATACTGAACGTGGTCGATCCAAAGTGTTGCGAATTGTTGGAAACATCTCCATAATTAAAGAGCAGATAGTGTTTCTGTGAACACTAAATTGTCGTGCAACAACATTCTGGGCCATCCCAGCCTGCAGCATTCCAATAGCACGAAGATGTTGATTTTCATTTAGTCTTGGCATAGCATAATTTCAGATTCTTATAATACCAAAGTGATTTTCTGAACAAATCCAGTCTTGAAAAATGTTTCGCACAAAAAATATTGCTCGAGATACCATGCGAATACAATTACGTCATAAAACAACATGTGCTTGCCCACCATGAAAAGTCCATGCAATTGAGTCGAGTTCAAGTCTTTTGTCATTAAAATGATTATCTGTATCAATTATATCTGCTTATAACTATAAATGATATACTTTGAGTTTTATGCTAAATTTACCGATGCACAGTTTCTTTTTTCCGTTAGCATATTATTGCATAATATGTATCTTAAGTGGGCTCAAGACCGAAAGTCTGGTACTCTACTTAACTGATAGTGCTAAATGAATAGAATAAGTCTACTTTTCAAATTTTTTTTCCAAATGATTCTAAGAAAATATTATCTATAAAAGAAACCATCATATTCTTATTATCTATCTGGGATCCAACTTTATTTGAAAAAATAAATTTCTCTCATCATCTCTACTTAGAAAAATGATGACCCTATCATTCAATCTTGAATATCAAACTCAACATCAATATTAAAATAGTTTTCATTAAGCTTTGAATGGTTATTAAATGTATTCCTTTTAGGTCTATTTTTTGGATAAAAAAAAAAAATCAAGGAGAAAACCCGTGACTTACCTTAGCATCTTGTCTTGTCAGAAAATCCACGAATCCAAAACCTCGATGTGATCCTGTTCCACCCAGCTTCTTAGGGAGTCGCACAAACTTTAGTTCTCCAAACACCCTGTAATTCATTAAGCAAGTAAGTATTATTTTTAGATAATACAAATTAACTACAGTCCCTGAAACGTTCTACTTTCCCATTTTTCCGTTCGCTCACCGTTCGTTCACCGTTCGTTCAGCGTGCGTTCACCGTTCGTTCACCGTGCGTTCACCGTTCGCTCTCCGTTCACAGTTTTGCGTTCACCGTTCACCGTGCGCTCGCGTTCACCGTTCACAAAGCGTTCAGCGTTCGCTCTTCGTTCCGTTCACTTTGCGTTCACCTTGCGTTCAGCGTTCACCTTTCGTTCAGTTTTGATTGTCATTCGGAACTCCGAAGTGAAAGGACTTATCTTTTTGTAGGTAAGGAGTTACAGGTTGTTTTTTTTAATTTAATAACTAACATATCGTGTTTGAAGAATCATTATTTAATGGGGGAAAATATCTACGATATATATATTTATTATTCTAACTTAGCTGTTCGGTTATTTATTAAATTACTCTGGAAAATAAATGTTGTTATAAGCACATTCTGTACCTATGTAGACCGATGCTGAAATATTAAATTTAACTAAGGGCAATGTGCAAATACTTCAAGCTCTGCAACAATTTGTTGTTTTGTTAAATAAAATGTTTGTGATATAATTATCCAAGTAAAATAATTAGGCAGCAAAATTACGAAAATATTTATTTCTAACACCTTTTTTTCAATTACTATAGAAAATATGATAGAACTAGTTCTGAGAGTTATACATAGTACTGCGGATATCCTGTTAATTTATTATCTTTGGAGCGAATGAAATTGATAGTGTGGTTAAAGGAAATATTTATTTAAAATGTAATGCACTACAGAATTTTCTCTACTATAATATGTTAAGTTTATAGTTATAGAGAAAAAAATTCTTTCTTCACCGTAACTTTATATGTTTGCCATTCGATATGATTAATACCCCCCCCCCCCTTTCCCTCAAATCGGTTACTTAGACAGTACTGTATTTCCAGAATATTTTAATTAACATTTTAAAAATAAAAGTTAAGGTCTTTTTTAGAACAAAAATTTCAGTCTCAAACCAAACATGCATCTAAAAAAAGTCACAAAACAATAGTAGTTCAAAATGTACACATGTCGGCGGTGGTATTTGAAATTGGCAGAGAGTATGTTTCAAATTCAAGTGTTAATGCCCAATGTATTTTATTCATTTATTATCTAAATGTTGGAATCAAATCTAGAAATGATGAAAATAAATGTTATAACTTGTTGGAAATACTCGCACTTCGCCTTCGATGTGACGAAACTTTCACACCTGCACAGTGTCGAATGATTTTGATTGACAGCACAAGCACGTGGACTTCGTGTGAACTTGAAGCAGGAAAATAAAAACTAGTATGACTGTCAAACAAATGGATATGATTTGTTGATTAAAAAAAAGTTACTTTCACTGTCTGATATATTTAGAAAAAAAATTCAGAGTTTTTGTTTGATATAGGTACAAACATTTAGTAAAGCCTGAAAGGAGGGGGGGGGGGGGCTAAAACGGTATCTCTCTCTCTCTCTCTCTCTCTCATTTGTCTGTTTAATAAACACTATAACAGCATATTACTTAAATATCAAGTTCTGAAAATTGAATTTATAACAAATAATATGAATATGCATCTTTGTATTATCTTGTCCGCGTATAATCACGGCCATCTACAGATACATGTAGAAGTCTGCTCAATAAATCATCATGAAAAATAGAGAAGTGACACAATATATTATTGTATTAAACATTTAAAATACGAGCGTATAAATGCAAAACGTCCACTGACCTTTGTAATTATTATTTTTTTTCATTACTTTACACGAAATCGCATTGACACAGAGATATATGAATGGATGTTACAACCGCTTTAATTCATTCTGTAAGTCAGAAGTTTTCTCTGATTTGTTATCAAATAAGAATAAACATTTTTATTTTCCAACTAAAAAAACATCTTTTATACTTCAGCGTTCGGCAACAATTACAATGTTTTAATGCGATAAAAATCGTGTGATTAAAAACTTAATGTGCATGCATCGTCTTTCTTAGGACAATTTTGGAGAATTTATTTTATTGACTTATTTATTCATTCATTTATTGGTTTACCTATTTATTATTTATTTATTTATTATTATTATTATTATTATTATTTTGCACCTAACATTATAATATAATAAAATAGTTTCAATGCAAGGAAAAGATCAGAGGCATTCCGAATATATCGTTCATCTTGCGTTCACCGTTCGTTCACCGTTCACTTTGCGTTCGCGTTTGCGCTCCGTTTGCGTTCTGCGTTCGCTCACCGTTCACCGTTCACACATCGTTCACCAAGTTGCGTTCAGCGTTCACACATCGTTCACTCACCGTTCGCTCTGCGTTCGTTCACCGTTCGTTCACCGTTCGTTCAGCGTTCGCTCACCGTTCAAGTGGGAAAGTAGAACGTTTCAGGGACTGTAACAATGGATTATCTTGCATTGCTTTGGACTAAGTACAACTCAACAGCATATGGTAGATATGTATGAAAGCAGATCTCTATCCAAGCAGATCTTAAATTATCATTACTTATGGTAAATAATCACTGAAGTCTTCTATGTTAATCTATACTTTACCAGATGACATCTATTTATGGTAGTGGATAGACTAAAAATACGTACATGTATATTGTCTTGTCTGGAAAACAGAGCAATACTACCAGGGCTTTAAGATGGGCAGCAATAAGGAGTAGTATTGCTCAATTCTTTGTATAAGTTTTTTTCTAAATTGCATCTGATGAGTTTTCTTGCCAAATTAATATAGTAAAATAACAAGCACGTACTTGAAAAGTTCATATATTTCAGGTTTTTTGGCCTCAAATGGAATGTTCCGCACTAAAATCTTTGTTGTTTTCTGCTTTTTAACTTTTTGTTTCTTCTTTGTGTTTGGTTTTTCCTTTCTGAAAAAGAAATTAAGCGGATACTTAACATATGCTGCATTGTCACTATCAGTTATATATTTAAATGACCAAAGAGACATAACTCAAAATCCAGTTTTTAATGCTTGTTCATGTATTTTAGTCCAAATCTGCAGATACATGTATAGACAAGTAAAAATAAATTTCAGAACCTTGAAAGAAGTTCAGCAAAGAAGAGGATGAAAAAATTGATAAACATGATTGTTTATGTGTACACTGTATATGGGCAAAGTAAGGGAAGTATAACTCATCAAGATATGTTCAAATTTCGGAAACTATTATTAAACGCCATGTTAAACTTTTTCAAAAGTGAACATACCGGATCTGTTTCCAGTATCATTGTTTACTTTCAAATTTGTAAGTCAAAATTTAAATTAAAAGTTTAAAATTTTACAAGTAACACAAATAAAGAACACTCTAAAAATGCAACAAAATTTTAGATTGACATAATAAGACTAACTTTCGGGATTTAAAAGCCCTGTGTCGTGAAATAGATGTGTGTGTTACTCACGTGAGAGTTGTCCGGTTAGAAATCTTTAATTCTACGGCATGGCCATCTAGGTCAGTGTGTTGGAGCTCCTTAATGGCCTTCATTGAGCTTTCCTTATTCTGGAATTCCACAAATCCATATCCCATGGACAAGTATTTCCCTGTAAAATAATGGACAGTAGTAAACAGGTTAACTCAAAACACACAAAATTCTCAATTTCCCATCAGAATAAACTTTACTAAGTAACAATTAACTATAGAAGAACCTTACTTTTCCTTTTTAGGTACAAAATTCATTTTTAATTACTAAACTTAGACACAGAATTGACTTAATCATTAACTAATGTAAATGCACCAGTATAAGTATGGTATCTCCACTAAGAAAAACATGTACCTGGATTCTTCATATCTTTCTTTTTTGCGATTGAAACTGATCGTATTTTCCCACATTTCTTGAATTTCTAAAAAAGAAAAAAGTGGGTAATGGGTCATAATGCTCATCTGAAACATTTCTCTTCCTGGGAAATGATACAGTGAGTGACACCCCTTATTACTGCCATACACTTGATCCACATGATTTTACATTGGTTAATTTTTAGTTCAGTTCATGTAATAACCTTCTTACAGTATGAGGTGTGTCTCTAATATGTAAATTTATGGGAACATAAATCTTATAGTCCTTCATATCAATTTGAGTAACCTTGCTCTTTTTCTTTTCTGAGAAAAAAAAACTACCCATTTAAGGAAGAGATTGCAAGGGTACATGAAAAAAATCCGCTCAATGAATTTTTCTCATTTTTACATATAATTTGCCTTACGTTAATGGTATCATCATATGAAAATTTCAACCATGGTCATCAGGGTTATAAGGAAGATATGGTTGCCATGGTAACCACCGTTTTTCAATATTTTGATATTTATGTAGTGAATTTTTAATTATGCCATACAGGTATCAAAATTGAAACAAATTAAATAATTTTCACCAGATATTAAATAACATGCTTTATATTCATCGGAAATAAAAATTGTATCGGAAACTATTGATAGATGTACTAATGCCCCAGTTGCTTTGGGGAGTAGTCATTGTAAATTTGCAGTAATATTTTCACCCCAAGAGCAGTTTTCAACGTCTTGACAAAAAATTGCCCAATGAATTTTCCCAAAATTAATATATTTTGTAACAATTATTATAAGTGACTTATGTTTAAAATATGAAGTGGGGTCATCACATTCTTTTTTAAGCTACATGCATTTCAATACCCCCCCCCCCCTTTCCTAAAATATTAAAAGATTTCATAAATTTTAATCTGATGGTTTGTTGCTGAACCTTAAATATGCATAATCTGTTAAAAACTATAGAAAATACGTATAGATTAATAAATATTTTTTCCTGAAAATCTTGTAGTGGTTGCTCATTTTATGCGTAGAGCAGAATGATAGCAGAATAATATAAAATAATGTACACAAAAAACAACAATATGCATATTTTTTTTATTTCCCCATCTCCAAAATATTCATTCCGTTATTATATCAACATAAGTACATGTATATACATTCTAAACCAGTGCACAGTGGTCTAAGGGCCAAATTGTTCATGCTCTGAACACTCATCGAGTTCTCTGCACTGTGACTTGGAATCGGAAAGGGGGGGGGGGGGGGGGGGTGAGTCACTTGAACACATTGAATGAATAGGTTATTTCAGAGAACTTGTACCTGCAATATATACCGTATATAAAAATCCTAACTATTATCTTATTTGACAAATTTCATGATTTGCTATTTAATATTTACATTTTGCAAATATTTTCCCTTCAGATTCATTGCAAGTTAGAAAACAATAATCATCATAGGTAAGCCTACATATCTCCATTGTGACGTCATAATGCCACACTTGACGTCAAAACTATAGTGCAAACTGTTTTGTTTCAAAAATAATCGTTGAATGACATTTATAAATTTGCGCTTCATGCTCACGCGGTTCATGAAATATGCTGAGGTGAAACGTCTTTGTTTATGTCCTCGTGAATTTTAAAAAATCAAATTCATTTTTCAAATATATTCCCGTGAGCAGGATGAGTTGAATTTTTTTTTTCAAAAATGTAATATGCTCAAAACAATTTTCCCTCTCTGGTATACCTGGTACCTCCGTAGTACCTCGATTGTCAGAATTAACCTCTCTTAGTTTCATCTGTCATTCTTACACGCGTATTTTTTGCTAGATTTGTGAAAACTTGCAAAAAGAAACTTTTCTTTTCTGTCAGAAGAAGTGTGTTCAGTTTCAATTTTTTACCAAATACGACGAATAAAACATTTTACCACAACAATTATAAATGTTTACGCAATAATGTGCCGACGATTCAATGTTTACATGGTCGATGTAAGAGTTGAAAATGCTAGAGAAGATCTTACCGAGGAAAACAATTTCCTCTGCGATATTTTTAAAAATACGTTCATGTCCAGCATGCGGCCTCAAACTGGTCTATACACGTATATATGAAAAACGCATTCATTTATCTGTCCATCCATACAGGCCTATATTCATTATAATCACTGAGAAAATCACGCCGTCTGAAGCTTCTAGGAAATGAATATCGATTCATAGATGGAGATCCTATAGGAAAGAAACCGATCTCAAATAAAATTCTAATATTTTAAATAAAACTAGAGGACATAAAGATCCAGATATGAATTAAATTTATTCATGAAATAGATTTCAGTGTTCAGAACTACGACAAAAGGTAGACGTGTCGAAACGAAAAAAAAAAACCAGGAATTAAAAAAAATGTCTGCGTCGACGCTCACCAACACTCTGCAACATCACATCTTAATATTATTCTTTCTCTGCTTTAAAATTATTGCCACGAAGATATTTTGTCATGGGCGTAATCATAATCACGCTCCTTATTCAGCTGTTATTCCGGAAATGGTTACCGTAAATCTTCTTTTTTTAAACATCACATGAGTCGATCACGTGACGCCTTGCAATCGCTTCCTTAAAGTGTAGAGCACAACAAACTTATCTGATGACAACAACAAAATTCCATACCTCTCTGAGCCCTTCTTCAGTTGTGGTAAAGTTAAGATTTTTCACAAAGAGAGTAGAATCAGGTTCTGGGATTCCACTCTCATCATCTTCACTAGATGACTCCTCTTCATTTTCTTCTTTCTGCATTATCAATGACAATCATCAATTAAATCACTTAATCAATTAAATCACTACATCAATAACAATCATCAAACTGCCCACCTACTCACCTTGAAAATTGTGGGTCGAAGTACATCAAAGAAAAAAATTTAATGATGGCCTGAGTGCTGTTTATATCGGGTATAAATGAATTAGGTAAAAGGTAAATCATTCAGTAGGAATTTAAATATAAGGCCATCTTTGAAATAAAGTTTGCTTGCCCTCTCTAAACTCAGGATAAAAAATTGGGTTGGTAAGTAGGTGGGAAAATTTTTTATCTCAGAAATTTTCAAAATCAATGCAGAATTTTTAAAATCTTTTAAAATTGAAGGTATCAATACAATTAAAATAGTTATTGACAGGATTAGAAAATTCTGAAATGAATAAAAAAAAAATGTCGCTTCCTGAAGGTTTAAAAAAGTTTTGAATCAGGCCATTTTTAGCCAGTCGGTCAGGAGAGAGCAAACATTTTTTTTAAAAGATGGCCTAAGGAGTACAAATTTACTGAAGTGCATTTTGCCAATATTTTAAGTGCACAAAGCCAAATAAATCGATAATATACAAACATTGAAGAGTTTTTATAATGTACCTTGTACATTTCTGAGTCCTTTGAAGTTTCTTTTTCTTCTGATTTGACAACAGGTGATCGGAAAACTTCCATAGGAGCCCATTCAAGGTATAGTGGGACATGCTGAAACTGCAGAAAGAAAACAAAACTGATGTGCCTCTTACTTCTGCACATAAACATCTGGCATCCTTAGTAATAAGGAAGGTTTCATTAATTAGTATATGTATACATGTCTGTTATATCCAAAAGATGTTAAGTTTCAATCAATCAAACAATTGTATACCTTAGTGTAAGCAAGGTTTCTAAATCCTAATTTTGCTTCGGTTGGATCTAAGTATTCCACAATGGCCGTGATTCCTGAGGGAGGTAAAATGACCCTCCCTAGAGCCCCATGTTTGCTGAAGACTGTCCGCAGATCCTCAGGATCAGTGTTAGCTGGGAGATTTTTTACTAGAATCACCGTCTTACTTCGTGGAGCTGCAGCCTATAAATGAATTTATGAGAATTTATGCTCTTTGCTTTAAGGCACATTGTATCAGAGGAATATTTCAACTAAATACAAATAAATGTACATAACAAGACATTAAGAAAATTAAGACAAATATGGCAAAAGATTTGATGATAAACATTGGTATTAATAACATTCTTCTAATTAAATCAAACCATACTAATTTTGACTAAATAGAAACTATCACTGAATGTAACATATGGATGAGATGAAATAATAATGGAAGTAAAAATAAACCTGACTGAAACTGTCTAGGACAACTCCATTCTCTGTTAAAAAGTCCCGAGTTTCTGCCACAATCTGAGTTTCTCCTAGGGCCATTCTGACACCAAGACTTTGAGGTGCTTCCTTCAAAAGTAATCAGTATTTTTCATGAGAAAAACTGATACCGGTTTATTACTGAAATAACTGCTAGATGTCTGAAAATTGATTTAAATTTTGATTAAATGTAAAAAAAGAACCTACTGGATCTAAAATGTGACTTTTTTCTGTGTTGTATTTGGCTGCCATTACATCAGCTACAGCATTAACTCCCAAGAACAAGGTATTCCAATTATGGGAGCTGAAAGATCAGGTAGATAAAATAAAACTACCATAAATTAACTGTAGTGTTTCATTGTTTAATGAGATTATGTGGCAATATATATTGCACATATTGCAGTCTGTTATATCATTCAGTTAGGTGAGGGATTTACCTTGTTGCCTCTGCTTTCTGCTTTGCAGCTTTTTTGGTCTTAAAAGATGACCCTTCTACAAAATCAGAAGAAGATTTGTTTGTACATAAAAAAAAATAATAAAGATCAGTCATGTTATACATTATGTATTGTTTCCTAGGAATACAAAGAACATAATTACTTTCACATTCTTGTCACATTCATGGTTGAGTTTTACCTGAGCATTCTGTTGTAACTTTCCGTGTTTGATTTTTACCTGAGTATTTTGTATCTTGTCAGTTTCATCGTTTGATTTTTACCTGAGCATTCTTTTGCTAACTTTCCCTGTTTGATTTTACCTGAGCATTCTATATCTTGTCAGTTTCATAGTCTGATTTTTACCTGAGTGCTCTGTATCTTGACAGTTTATTGTTTGATTTTACATGAGCATTCTATATCTTGTCAGTTTCATAGTCTTGATTTTTACCTGAGCGCTCTGTATCTTGATAGTTTATTGTTTGATTTTACCTGAGCATTCTGTATCTTGTCAGTTTCATTGTTTCATTTTTACCTGAGCGCTCTGTATCTCGACAGTTTATTGTTTGATTTTTACCTGAGTATTCTTTATCTTGTCAGTTTCACGATCTTTAACTGAGTGTTCTGTTGTACCTTGTCAGTTTCATTGTTTGATTTTTACCTGAGTGTTCTGTATCATCATCCAGCTTCTCTTTCCCAGGAATAATATGCAACATTCTACCCTGAAATTTACAAGTAGAATAACAATCAAGTCGTGGACAAACTCTCATTATGAAATTGTAAAGATTAATCAAATCTTGAATATACAAGTACTTGTTTAACATTAAGTAGAAGTTAGAAGCATGAACCTTGAACACTGATCCATCCAGTTGTTCATAGGCTCGAACTGCATGCTCTGGCATCATGAACAAGATGAAGGCATAACCCCGGATCTTCTTAGTGACAGTGTCAATGGAAAGATGAACCTCAGCCAGGGGCCCTATATGTGAAAATATTATACTTTCAAGTATATTAGTTGAATTTGATTCATTGAGAAATATTTGTTTAAAATTACAGTCACTATTACCCTCTGAATGATGGAACCATGCACTCCAGTGTGATAGAACATAGCAACTGTCAACATCACTTAATGATGGATGTTATTCCAAAACATGGGCCAAAATGCACACCTAAGTCACTATGGCCCTTCTTTTCATTATGAGCAGATTTTTTCCCTATATATTCTTATGTAAAATTGTGGCCAAACCCTACCCTCAGGTGTCACGATTTGAATGAACTTGAATCTACACTATCTGAGATTGCTTCCAAATCAATATAACTAATAAGGCTTTGCTGTTCTTGAGAAGAAGACTTTTAAATATGTTTTCTTTATTTTCTTATGTAAAACTTTGATTGCCCATTGAGTCCCCACCCTACCCACGGGGATCATGATTTGAATAAACTTAAATCTTCACTACCTGAGGATGCTTCCATATAAATATGACTAATCATGGCTTTGCTGATCTTGAGAAGACTTTTAAATAATTTTTTTATGTATTTCCAAGTAAAACTTTGATTGCCCATACTTACCCCACCCTACACCATGGGGTCATGGGGTCATGATTTGTTCAAACTTGAATATACACTATCTGAGAAATTTCCATGTAAATATGACTTATCTTGGCCTTGCTGTTCTTGAGAAGATTTTATAAGATTTCTCCTGTATATTCATATGTAAAATTTTGATTGCCTATTGTGGCCCAATCCTATCCTCAGGGGTTACGATTTAAACAAATTTGAATCTATGCTTTGTCAGGAAGTTTTCACATATTTCATCTTTTCTGGCCCAGCGATTCTTGTTGAGAATTTTCACTATTTCTTAATCATCTCCCCTTGGAAGAGGGTGCAGCCTTCATTTGAACAAACTTGCATCCCCTTCACCCAAGGATACTCTGTGCCAAGTTTGGTTGATATTGGCCCAGTGGTTCTGAATTATAGTATGAAAATGAGAAAAGTTTATGACAAGCACCGATGACAGACAACGGACAAATTTCAATCAGAAATGCTCACTTCAGCCTTTGGCTTAGGTGTGCTATAAATGCTGACAGTACAGAATTTATGTGCAAATGGTTTACCTTTTTTGTTTTTTGTATAAAACATTCTGTATAATAAATACTGCATGTAGTTGAGGGTAACATTGAAAAGAGCTAGGCTCATTTTATGCATAAAATGGCCCTGTAGATATTATGGACTCTTTTGGTGGTGAATATGGTTTGTTATTCACCAGAAATATGTCAATATTGACCAAGGTGAATCTTCTTAAACAGTTCTATCATTATATAATTGCACATTTTAAATCAGAGGTTGCGTTCTATACAAAATATTGAAAAATAGCATAAAAGTTTGGCTGTTTTTCTAAATTCTAAAATTTAAATTTATGTGGTCTATGTGAAGTTCTTCCACTAAGAATTTTCCAGTGAAAATAAGTAATACCAGCCTCATGTTTGGAAAAAAAAAACATTTACTTGTGTTGAATCATTTTATAACACAGGCATGTCTGACAATATACATATACAAATTGAGCTTACTCTTTTGTGATAACATATCCTGTACAAGAACTATTCAGACTTCATTAAATTTCTTACCAAACTTTCCAAACAGTTCCTCTAAATCTTCCTGTGTACAGCTATATGGTAAATTCCTTACAAACAATCTCCCAGTCTGCAAAATTCAAATCTTCTATAAAGATAAGTTATATAAAACAACATCTGAATAATTCATATCAGTCCATACAAGTATAAAATGCTTTTAAGTAATTTTACATTCAATTGCACTTTCTAAGTTTCATCTGGTAATATTTTGAAATTAAACACCAGTTTAACACTATATATCTGATTTGTGGTCGTTTTCTTTTTACTGATCCATTTTTATTACAACTGTTTAACAACAGATCACCGATTTGTGGTTGTTTTTACTTATTATGTTACACTTGTTTAACAACAGATCACTGATTTGTGGTTGTTGTTACACCTATTTAACAATAGATCACTGATTTGTGGTTGTTTTCTTTTTACTCATATTACACATATTTAACAATAGATCACTGATTTGTGGTTGCTGTTACACTTGTTTAACAATAGATCACTGATTTGTGGTTGTTTTTACACCTGTTTCACAATAGATCACTGATTTGTGGTTGTTGTTACACCTATTTAACAATAGATCACTGATTTGTGGTTGTTGTTACACCTATTTAACAATAGATCACCGATTTGTGGTTGTTTTTACACCTGTTTAACTGTTAGATCACCAATTTGTGGTTGTTTTTACACCTGTTTAACAATAGATCACTGATTTGTGGTTGTTACACCTATTTAACAATAGATCACTGATTTGTGGTTGTTGTTACACCTATTTAACAATAGATCACTGATTTGTGGTTGTTGTTACACCTATTTAACAATAGATCACTGATTTGTGGTTGTTGTTACACCTTTTTAACAACAGATCACTGATTTGTGGATGTTTTTACACGTGTTTTACAATAAATCACTAACTTTTGGTTGTTGTCACACCTGTTTAACAATAGATCACTGATTTGTGGTTGTTGTTACACCTGATGTGTTTAACATAATATCACTGATTTGTGGTTGTTGTAACACCTGTTTAACTGTTAGATTTTTGATTTGTGGTTGTTGTTACACCTGTTTAACAATAGATCACTGATTTGTGGTTGTTGTTACACCTGTTTAACAAAAGATCACTGATTTGTAGCTGTTGTTACACCTGTTTAACAATAGATCACTGATTTGTGGTTGTTGTTACACCTGTTTAACAATAGATCACTGATTTGTAGCTGTTGTTACACCTGTTTAACAATAGATCACTGATTTGTGGTTGTTGTTACACCTATTTAACAATAGATCACTGATTTGTGGTTGTTGTTACACCTTTTTAACTGTTAGATCACTTATTTGTGGTTGTTGTTACACCTGTTTAACAATAGATCACTGATTTGTGGTTGTTGTTACACCTGATGTGTTTAATGCTATATCACTGATTTGTGGTTGTTGTAACACCTGTTTAACAATAGATCACTGATTTGTTGTTGTTGTTACACCTGTTTAACAATAGATCACTGATTTGTGGTTGTTGTTACACCTGATGTGTTTAACACTATATCACTGATTTGTGGTTGTTGTAACACCTGTTTAACTGTTCGATTACTGATTTGTGGTTGTTGTTACACCTGTTTAACAATAGATCACTGATTTGTGGTTGTTGTTACACCTGATGTGTTTAACACTATATCACTGATTTGTGGTTGTTGTAACACCTGTTTAACTGTTCGATTACTGATTTGTGGTTGTTGTTACACCTGTTTAACACTATATCACTGATTTGTGGTTGTTTTGTACTTACCTCTGCTACACTGTCCATTTGAGCTTCATGTTCTTCCCACCTCTACAACAGATGTGATGATTTTACTAGCTACACAATGTAAAGCTTAAGTCTGGTATAGCACCTGTCTACATTCTGTGTAACTCTATCGTACCTTTTTATTTGCAGACTGTGTATCATTATTCTGTTTTTCCTTCTCTTCATCTTTGAGCTGAGTTACATCCCCTTTCTCACATTTTTTCAAGTAAACTCTCTTACTTTCTGGAATATTTATGTGTAAGTATTATCAAATAGACACCTTCAGGTTCTTCTTTCCTCTTAAGTATACTTTTATAGTCAACGTTACCATTTCATACTCAATAGATACCCATTAATATAGAAATTTATGTATCAATAAAAATGAATGAAGGAACAAATAGTTAATAACGCTTATACAACTGATTCTCATGAGGAAAACAGATGATGATCATTTAACATATCTATCATTTATCGGGATCACTTTAATTCTAAGCAATGACATTTTTTTAGTACATATTACTAAGCCTTACTGATATAGTTTTTGGTTTTTTTTTACTACATATTACTAAGTCTTACTGATACAGTTTTTGGTTTTTTTACTACATATTACTAAGTCTTACTGATACAGTTTTTGGTTTTTTTACTACATATTACTAAGTCTTACTGATACAGTTTTTGGTTTTTTTACTACATATTACTAAGCCTTACTGATATAGTTTTTGGTTTTTTACTACATATTACTAAGTCTTACTGATATAGTTTTTGGGTTTTTTTACTACATATTACTAAGTCTTGCTGATATAGTCTTTGGGTTTTTATTACTATAGATTACTTATTTTACTGATATAGTTTTTGGGGTTTTTTTACTATCTAAATGTATTACTAAGTCTTACTGATATAGTTTTTGTTTTTTTAAAACTACATATTACTAATCCTTACTGATATAGTTTTTGGTTTTTTTACTAAATATTACTACATCTTACTGATATAGTTTTTGTTTTGTTTTTTTTTTTACTACATATTACTAAGCCTTACTGATATAATTTTTGTTTCTTCTCATGGCATCATTAAGATCTTTTTCTGAGGAAAAGTCCACATAGGCTACTCCTGAAAAAGAGAATTTTTTTTTATTTTTCAAGAATACCCTTCTGAGGTTTCATGGTAAATAAATGAAGAATTACTAATACAATTTAAAAAAGGTTCTCCTGCTTTGAAGTGGAGTAAAACTGATAAATGAAAAAAAAATGCATAGGCCATACTGGAATACATACGAGTACAATCAGAAGAGCTCTCCCACACATTTGGGGCACTGGCATGCATCAATGAGCAACAACAGTAGACAATACATGACCCCCATCCCTACATCCCTTTGATTAAGATTCAAACCCTCTTTCAGGTTACAAGTAATATGTTTAAACCTTTCTTCAAATGCAACTACATATATGTCCAATTCCCACCATACATACGACACAGTTTACGATTTCCTATCTACTCACCTATAGGTTTCTTCTGATTGTTTTGGGGCAAACGAATATCCTTAATGTTGATTGGTTTGAAAAACTCTTTGATTGCCTTCTGAAAAAGAAAGTACATGTAGTATTTTTGCAATTATACCTACAAGCATATCTTTTACCTAAAGAATTTTTTACAAATAAAATACCATAATTGACTGGTTTTGTACATACAAATGTAGTTGTAGAATGAGTTCAATGTTTCATATGAAGGGCTTGACATCATCCTTTCCACCCTAATTTTCTGTGGAACCTTAAAATTAAATCTAGACTGCCCAAATGATGCTCTAATGATGATGCAATTAATATATTATTTTTTGTTCTATATAGCAAACCATACCATATAAAGGGAAATTTTAGTGAATATCTAATTATTGCATTATTAGCAATGGTCTTGGCAATGCTGAAAATAAATTTCACTAATAATTTAAAAATCACAAGTATTGTCTTTGAAAATAAACAGTGTTAACCCTTTCATCGCTAAAGATTAATTATGCAAGTAACAAATGCCCACGTTTAGGATAATATTATCATTTTTTGCCATTTGCTGAAAATAACCTTTATATGGCATGTAGTTCAGGGTTAGCTATGAATACCTTAAAGCCCAAGTTTCAATTAAAAACCGTGTCAAGCCCTGTATCTATGGTAAAATCAAGATTAAACATAATAAATCCTTACTTACCTCACCAGAGGAAACAGGCAGGTTTCGCATTTTCAGCATGTATTTCTCTTCAGCTTTGTTAGGCTACATACAAAACAAAAAAAAAAATAATGAAATTTTAATTAGATAATGCTTATCCGAATTTCGTAATTGGTGGTAATTTTTTTCTCATATATAAAGGTATGAAATCCAGCTCTATTCTGACCTCCACCTGTTTGTCCCTCAGCTTTGTTTTCCTGCTAGTTTTTGTCTCGGTTTCATCCTCCTCGGAGTCTGAGCTGCTATCATCAAATATGGCCTGACTGGATACTTTAGATTTCAAGTACTACAATAATACAGTAGTAGGAATTAGTAAATTACAGGAAATAAAACCTTAAGAAATATTTATAACATCACCTGGTGGAATACAAAATACAAGTATGTTCAAGTCTACTTTGTTATGTATTCTAAAGACTGACTTGCTAATTTTGACTTGTGTTACTTTTCCAATAGCTTTAATCACAGAAAATACATGTACATACATGTATAATAATACTAATAATAATAATACATTAAGGACTCTATAGTCATAAAAAATATAAACACTTCATAGTCCACAAACTGTACTTACATCCAAATCTGTTACATTCTTCTTTGTTGCCAGCTTATCCTTATCTTCTGAAAGGAAAAACATTATAAATTCAGCACTACATTTCTAGAATGTTGACAATAAATTCAAAAGCCAATGTTTATAAATGTTATCCTCCAAAAAAAAAAAAAAAGAAAATACTTGTATACTGCATTAATTTTTAAATCAACTGTGCAAATATATTATACAGTAAAACACGCTTATAGCAAACACACTTATAATGAATTGACACTTACAGCCAAGTGATTTTCATTCCCTGTGAGTTTAAAATATATTGTAAACTTATAATGAATTATGTTTACAATGAAGCAAAAATGGCCATCCCAGGCACTTCAATATAAGCCTGTTTTACTGTATGTATCATACACAAAGGTCTGTATTGAGAGAAACAAACTGTAATCTCAAAATCCTAATAACAAGGGCAGTCAGTCAACTACTACCATACACATCTTATAGATTCTCTATCATGTTTCATCAGACTAGCTAATACAAACTTGTGTCACAGTTGAAAATACATTTATCTTCCTCCTGGAAAAAATCTGCCAAGAAAAATTGATCATCTAGTGGCATAATGTAGCTTTGAAGTACTGTAAACATACTCTTTTCCACAGATCGAGTCAAAATTCCATGGAATCACAATTTCTCTTCAATGCGCAGAAATAAAATTAAGCAGATTTCTTAGATTGCCACTATACATGTATGTTAATTGTTTTTTAAGTACACTGGAACAATTTTTTGTGGAAGGTTTGTGACCACGTATATTGCAGAAAATAACACCATGCGGAAAAAAGTACATCTACAGTATATACATGTATAACAAATCATGATTCGGATTGTCTTTGTACCTTTAACATCTTCCTCCTCCTCCAATTCTTCATCAATGTCATCGCCTTTCTCATTGCCTTCCTCATCATTTTCAGTCCCTTTCCTCTCCTGCTCCTCCATTTTGTCTGACTCCTCTAAAGTCTCTCCTTTTGGCATCACCTCATCATTTGCCCACAATGACTTGTTGCCACTTCTCTGGTGAGCTTGTACAAATTCTTCAAACTTAGGATCATCTTTCAACTTTAAAAATATATAATTATGTTCCATTGTGTACACAGAACTAAAAGTATGAGTATGTATAATCTCCAATAATAAGCTTAATTACACATGTGCCGTACGATATACAAAAACAATGTTGCTATTACACATATATGTACATGTACTTAAATCTAGATCTGGTCAGACATGAAATTTTTTCAAGTATTCAATCCACTACCAGAAACTGTTTAAATTTTACCTCTCCCAACATCTCAGCAACCACTTTTTCTCTGGATTTTTTCTTCTTTTCTTTCTTCTCATTATTCTACTCAAAAAAGTAACCATGCAATGCTAAGCTTGAAAAAGAAAATTAATTGCAGTTGCCAATCCACAATTTTGAGAGTGGGTATTTTTTTTTCATTTAGTTTTCATGTTTTTATTGGACTACAAATCATCGAGATTTTCCTAGGTTCCCACTGAAAAGTTTATGTATCTGCATACTACATTTAATTTGAGCATCAAATTGACATACATTAAAATCTCAAAAATGAAGTTTCAATACATGTATATGTAAAAGTTAATCTTAATCAGAAGCTGGAAAACCAAGAGGCCCATGGGCCACATCACTCACCTGATCACTTAGGCTAAGAAAAAGCAGAAATCAGTTCGGTATTGAAAAGTTTAAATATAAATGTGGTTCCAACATTTGATCTTCTATTGAGGCCTTGTCCTACCTCCAGGGACATGATTGAAACACTTTTGAAACTACTCTACACTACTACACTACTCTAGGATGTTTCTGAATTAATAAGACTGGCTTTGATCTTCTTGAGAAGAAAACTTTAATGATATATCAATTATATTCTTTTTTATAACTTTGATCCCCTGTTGTGGCCCCACACAACCCCTAGGGGTCTTGATTTGAACAAACCTGAATCTACACTAACTGAGGATACTTTGACATTAATAAGACTAATCATGGCTTTGCTGTTCTTGAGAAGAAAATTTTTCAAGATTTTTTCCTATGTATTCCTAAAACTTTAATTGCCTATTGTGGCCCCACCCAATCCCCAGGGGTCATGATTTGAACAAACCTGAATCTACACTAACTGAGGATGCTTCCATAATAATATGACTAATTGTGGCTTTGCTGTTCTTGAGAAGAAAATTTTTCAAGATTTTTTTCTATGTATCCCTATACATGTAAAACTTTGATCAGCCATTGTGGAACAAATTTGTGTTGAACACAAATTTGAATCTACACTATGTATAGAAGATTTCACTTAAGTTTCAACTTTTTTGGCCAAGTGGTTCTTGAGAAGAAGATTTTTAAAAGATACCACCTCGGGAAGAGGGAGTGGCCCTTCATTTGAACAAACTTGTATTTCCTTCAAGGGTACTTTGTGCCAATGTTTGGTTGGAATTGGCTCAGTGATTCTGGAGAAGATTCTGGAGACAAATTTTGATCCGAAAAGCTCACTTGAGCCTTCGGCTCAGGTGAGCTAAAAATTGGGTTAAGTGCATTTTTTAAGTGGGTCAGGATGCAACTGCAAACAAACAATATTTTATTATAGGCCCAATTCAAACTAGAACTGTCCAAAAGGGACAAATACCCCCCGCTGGGTTTTTCAGAGAAAGTACCAAATCACTAATGTTTTCTAGATGTGAGAGGTGTTCACAATTTCCTTAAACATTTACAGTGAAAATTTAATTACTCATTATATATTTTTATACGTCCGTCTTACGACGGGACGTATTATGTTATAGCATTCATGTTTGTCCGTCCGTTAGCTTTTTCATGTCCGGCTCATAACTTTAATACTATTAGGCCTAGAATTATCAAACTTTGTCAGCTGATACATCTAGGGTAGAAGGTGTGTCGCACATTAAAACCAGGTTGCTCTGACCTTTAATAAAGACGCTAAGGCCAGATATGGAAAAATCATAACTAGAAAACCATTAGACTTAGAATCAAAAAACTATGTCTTTTAACTTTTAAATTACACAGTCCCAAAAGATGTCAGAGTATTGCAGTATCTTTATTAAAAAAGTGTTAAATCAAGAAAATACTAGTCTTATTTTTTTCATTATGTTCTTTACAGCAATCTGTAACAACAAAAATTCCACCTCTCCCATGGGTGTAATGATCAGGCACTGGTCAAGGAAAATTTTGATAGCAGAAAATTGCATGTCAAATTAGAGAGAAATTAATGAGTTTAGTGTGAGGAGATAACTGGTAGAGCATCTCTGATCAAGCAGGTGTTATCTACATCTCTTGGGAATTGGGCAAAAGGAATCAGTCTCTTAATTAATAATGCTTGTGTTGTATTGAATTGTTCTTGTTGGCTAGTCTTACTTTCAAGATAAATTTGATGTAATTAAAACTAATTTGATATTGTATATAATAATTAAAAGTTATATGATATTGTATAATATAATTTAAACTAATTATTTATTGTACATTTTTTATTTGAATTTTTATATCTTTACAACAAATTGCAGACTGCCTTGTCTCGCTAAGATGTCATTCAAACAATTGAATCTAAACTGTTTATGATAATTTAACAATATTTGATGGGCGTATCATGCTGTGGTAGGCCACTTTATTTAATGAATGAAACTAAGGTGCAGCCTAATAAAACATAAACACTAATAATTACAGTGTTTTTTATTAACATTGAAAAAATAGTTTGCAACTATCTGCCATCTTTGTGAGACATGACACTCTGCAAATTGATTGTTGAAAAAAAGAATATCATAATTAATTATAGAAAATCAAATTGATTTTAATACCTTTATATCAAACTCATTTTAAAAATAAAAGGCTGGTTTTAGTAACTATGTATTTTGACAGACATAAATTACAATTAAGAGACTTCGACAACAGAGATCTTTATTTCTTTCTGCCCAATTCCCCTGAGATATAGATAAGACCTGCTTGATCAGAGATGCCCTAACAGCTTCCCACACTGAACTCATTAATTAATCTTTAACTGGATGCATGTCCACTTATTACTCCCAAGGGACAAATGGATTTACACTATCTGCTGTGTAATGTAAAAACTGTTTTTAATACTTTGTGGGTTTTTTCTAGTTCTAATGAGTAGTTTTAAGCTGTAGTTCACATTTTTGTACAGATGTTCTAGATTCTATGTCTCAAACCTTAGACATGAACCCAAAATGACTAAGTCAATAAATTAAATTAAAAAAAAAACACCTGTAAAATGCAGAAAAATTATCGAATAATGTTGAAAATACCAGGTGCACATCTTCATATGGTAAATAATAAGTGTACAAATTTTCATACAAATCTATGCAATAGTCTCTGGGAACAGATCCAGACAAAACCACATAATAAAAATGAAAAAAACTCCTGTAAAATGCAAAATAATTATCCAATCATAATGAAAATACCAGGTGCACACCTTCATATGGTGAATAATAAGTGTACAAATTTTCAGACAAATCCTTCCAACAGTTTCTAAGAAATGGTCCGGACAAAATCTCGTCTACAGACAGACGGACAGACAGACGGACGTGCTGATTCCAATATACCCCCCCTAAACTTCGTTTGCGGGGGGTATAACTATCATAAAAAGTATATGTAATAACTAAAGATAACCCACAACTGAATGTCACTCAGTATATCATTATTTATTGATTATTGAGTCATTATTTATTGAGCATTGAGTTATTATTTATGGATCACCGAGTAATTATTTATAAATCATTGACTACCTTGGCATTATCATTTTGTTTGACATCGGTATCTTTGTGTTTCTTCTGGAAAGCAGAACTGTCACTTGAATATTTGCTCCACGCTCTCGGTTTATTCACATCACTGAAATCCTTTGCTTTCTCAACCTGTAACAAGTAACGACAGATAATTCAAACTAATGCATGATAATTTTTATGAATTCAAATAAACTCTGTTTCATAACTTTCATACAAAAGTATAAATTGTATTATACTTTTGCATGAATTTTGCCTATTTTCTTCTTGGGTGAAAAGGATGAACAGTCCATTTCAATCTTTAAATGAAATCATTCTTAATTCAAACATACACTAATTCTGCTGGCATCGATGAAGGTTTTATTAAGTTGTTTAACAGCCTGGTCAGCTTCTGCTTCAGAAGAGTATCCTATAAAGGCAAAGTTCCTAAACACTCCATCTTTGGTGAACTTAAGAGAACAATCTGTCAGCGTTCCAACTGCTCCAAATATCGATCGCACTCTCTCCTCTTTGATCTGATATAAAGAGAAAAATGAAACATTTCCAGTTGTTATATATGCTGGATTCTTTAAATCATTAGCTGCATAACTGTATATCTCCGTAAAAAAAAAAAATAAATGACAGATTGTAAAGCTATAGTGCTACCCAGAAAAAAACAGTATATTTATTGTACATGTTGTACAAAAAGTTGCGATCTGTTCTGGATTTATTTCACTAAATACTTACCTCAATTGCACATACAGTCGTTTGTCCAGTTCCGAATTTTGACCAGTTCCGAATAATTAATAATAATTAATAATTAATAATTTAAAAGCTGATAATTAATAATTAATAATTTCAAAAGTGTAAACGTAAATTCATACATATGGTATGAAGGCTTATCTATGAGTGTTAGAATTATGTGAAGTTTTGATTTATTGCCATCAGTTTGTGTCCGCTACCGTACTTGCAACAGGCAACATACTTTTACAATGCAACAAATCTGAATCCCCTCGACGCATTTGTCTGCAGAAAAAAGTCTGTAAAGACATCAATTTTTCACATAAAACAACATTTCAACCATCAAAAGTAAGTTTCATATGTATTTTAACAAATACCAAATTTAAAGCTTGCCGAAAATATATAATTAGACCACCGGAAGATATCGGAATATTTTTGTGTTCTCATTTTCCTAGTTCCGAATACCCATTATAAACTCTATATAATACATTAGCTTTCTGTTATTTCTTCATTGTAAATGTGACTGTTATTTCTCTTTACCCTTTGGAAATACCACTTACTTACTGGTAGGCATTTATTTTAACTTATCCTAGGCATGACAATTGATAATGTGTGGGACGGATATTTTTTAATATACCGGTAAGGTCGAATTGCATGGGAACCGCTAGGGTATTCGGAACTCGTTGGCTTATTCTTAACTAGTAAAATGAGTACCCATGTTAACTTGCTAAAATAGAAAGTTTTTTTGAAAGGCTGAACTTTAAATTCATGAAACAACATTTAATTCTGCAAGTCACTGAACTACTTTGACAAACAAATTAGATTTTGAAATAATGCTGTCATATATTTATAGCAGCGTCTAATCGGTTCCCTATTCGCAACTGGTCAAATGACTGTATACTCAATTGACATCTGCACAAAGTGCATTGGACCGAATTGTCTTGCCACTTAAAATGGCAGAATAAATAAATGAAATTTTTGATGCTCTCAATTTCAGATGCAGGTGGGCTATTAACAATGGACATATATGGGATGTTTTGTTGTGGAAATAGAATATGTTGGGAACACAGTAATATTTTGAGATGGCAGTTTGAAAAACAAAAAAAGAATTTAAAAAATCGATAAATCAGCACGTTTTTGTGTACAATAAATATACAGTTTTTCCTATGGGTGGCACAGTAGCTCTCTGGTTGTCGATCCAATTTTTTCAGACTAGCAAGCTACAGATCTGCAGCTATCAAATCAATGTACTGTAACGTTGCATGGAAAATGCTTTGCAATAACTCTCCAAACTTAAAATACATATATATACCTGATTTGTATTTTTTTTTTAAATGCATCAATATACACTCATATTACCGAATTTGCTGTCTAATTCCTGACTTGTATTATTGAATTGGTCCTATTGGTTTGTATTTGCGTCTGTATGTACTCATGTTATTCAATATTCACTTTATTCAAATCCCTGCAAATTTAAGAATGAAATCCTTCCCCCAAAAAAATCCAAGCCCCATTTTTTTTATCTGTATGACCCCAAAGAAACCCTTTTCCGGGATATCTCCCCTTTCATGGACGTTTAGAACATTGCCTTTCTATACATACATTCATGTTATTCAATTTGCTGCTTAATTCCTGACTTGTATTCGATTCATATTATTCATATTGTATTCAGTTTACTTGGACAGAACCAATGTTCGTCTGTATATATAAACTCATGTTATTCCATTCATCCTTCCTTACAGTATATCATATATTACCATAAAATATTCATATATATATATATATATATATATATATATATATATATATATATATATATATATATATATATATGTATATATATACATATATATATATATATATATATATATATATATATATATATATATATATATATATATATCAAAAAAAATCTTAACACCGAAATAAACTCTACCGGTTTCATTTTCAATCTTCAGGAGTTTGACAACATATTGCTTAGTTACACATAAATACAAAATCAATATTCTTACTGTGACGTCAAAAAGCGCTAATGTGAATTTACGCATTAGTAAAGTTAATTATGACGTCATGACATAACGTAAGAAATTTAATACGGGAAATTAAATTTTCCATACAAATAATACAGATATAAATTGCGGGAAAAAAGTATATATCTGATACAAAATATAATTATGTAGCATTTAAAACAGGTTTATATCTGTTAATAAAAAGTTTTTCTTTGGTTTCACGTTCTTTTTCTGTGGTATCCCTTCGAAACTTGTAAAAGGGAAAAATACCGATGTACCCCCGTCAGTGACCATATTAGAAACTGTGCCAAGAATAAAAGTCCCAACTTAACCGTTTTTCCCTTTTACAAGTTTCGAAGGGATACCACAGAAAAAGAACGTGAATATATATATATATATATATATATATATATATATATATATATATATATATATATATATATATATATATATATATATATAATATGAATTATTTTAAATTCTGGAGATGCTGTGAATCATTAAAATGCGTTAGATATGCAGAAAATAATCACGTTAACGTGTACACCGTCAAATTATTCAATTCCCGAATTTAATAACATGATTATGCCTAATCTATAATATAATATACATATATATATATATATATATATATATATATATATATATATATATATATATATATATATATATATATATATATATATAATATGAATTATTTTAAATTCTGGAGATGCTGTGAATCATTAAAATGCGTTAGATATGCAGAAAATAATCACGTTAACGTGTACACCGTCAAATTATTCAATTCCCGAATTTAATAACATGATTATGCCTAATCTATTACATATATCACAACCATATAATATATACAATAAAGTACCTGAGTACGGTGTACTTATTTCAAATTATGTAGAAAACTGACCAACCTGCTGATAGTGATAATACCTTCAACTTCCCCAGTACATCAAGCAGTTCTATTTTTTTTTTCACATCTAAAGAGAAACAAGGCATACCTTTTTGGGTAAATTTTTCACGATCAATCGCGACATATCTGTGTCTTGACTGATGAATAGGCAAGCACGTGTATCTGTTTCTCTGTCAATCTTAAACCGGAAGTGCTTAATAATAATGGAGTGACTTCCCTTTGTTATTGATTTTTCAGTTGGAAAGGGCAAAACGAAATCAAATTATTATGTCTTTTTCGTAATTTTTCAGCAAAAATGTCAGAAAATGCTATCGTCATAAGACCTTTTAAGGTATGCATGTTTGTAGAAAAGGGTTGTCATTTGAAATTTTTTGATGTAGATGATAAAATTTTATCCATTATGAATGGCATCTCATTTGTGCCATAATCTGTACCATTCTTTAATGACTTCTACAGTATTTTTAGGAGACTATTTAACATCAGTTAAAGTCCATTAAACATTTAATCATTAAGCTATTTGAGCAGACCGTACTGCCAAAAAATATACATAAATATTTGTTTAATTCGATCTAACATCCAATAACATTTAGTGTTAGAAGGACTGAACATGCTGAAGCTAGCTTTTGGTTATACTATTTATAAACATGTCATGAGACTCTAGATAGTAGTTAAGGCGGGGGGGGGGGGGGGGGTGTTGTTATCCATGCTTCAGTCTCAGATGCCTGTGGTAAAAAACCAGTGTGCAACTTCTTGCAAAACGTTTGTTGTGTACCTATACATATCATTGTAGCTGCAGATAAATAGCTCGCTGGTCTGAAAAAAAAATATGGGATGGACGACCAGAGAGCTACAGTGCCACCCATTGAAAAGGTGTATGTTTATTGTGCACAAAAACGACTGCACTGTTTCTCGATTTATTTCTCCATATGATTAAACTGCCACCTCAAAATATTACAAACCGTGTGTTCCTAACATATTTTTTCACTACTTCCACAATAAAAAAACATTTCCCAAAACTGTTGTTAATATCCTTCCTGGGCCTGAAATTGAGACCATCGAAAATTTCACCATCTTGGGTGGCAAGACAGCACACTTCGTACATGACTTTTACATACAGTTTTGCTGTGGAAGTAGTAAAAGAATATGTTAGGAACACAGGGTATGTAATATTTTGATATGTACGGAGAAATAAATCAAGAAACAGCACACTTGTTTGTGCACAATCAATATACACTTTTTTCAATGGGTGGCACTGTAGCTCTCTGGTCGTCCATCCCAATTTTTTCAGACTAGCGAGCTACATATCTGCAGCTAATATTATCATTGGTATTGTTTATAAAAGAAATTGATATGGTCTTCAGAGATGAAGAAATTTGTTTTTCCAATACATTTAATGGTATATCTGAAAGCCATATAAGCATACAATTTATTTATTACTTCAATTTTTAATTATTTAAATAGATCATTGGTGAGGCCTTTACTGGAATAGCTGGAGTTTTCCTCATCATAGCAGCAGTTGGCAAGGATTGGGTTGAAGTCCAGTTTTTCCGCACCTCTCACATTATCACCTGGGGATTATGGGATATCTGTGTCGGTGGACTTTGCTTGCCGGACAGCGGTTTGATTTTTTTTTTGATTTAGATTTATTTCATACTCATAGTTCTTGAATCAATCCTTAATTATTCTGTAGTCTATGAATTCAAAGAGAATGAATTCAACATTCTTAAAAAATATATTTTAACATTATGATATTTAAGTGACCTAAATGTTTCTAGTCAAATCAAACTAAAATTTAAATTGTACTAATTTTTTATTGTTGTAGATATCTGTACATTTATTTTACAATATTTTAGATGAGAGTGGTTCATTTTCTTTCTTTAATTTGTAAGATAATGACAGATATATGGGTATCTGATTATTCAGGCTGGCTGGAGGTTTGTCAGGCCTTGTCCTTGGTTTCCCTCCTTCTGTGCCTGGGGGCCTTTATCTGTGGATTTGTGGGCCTCTGTATCCATTCTCATTGCAGCAAGAGGTTGTGGTTTGTCTTGGCAGGGGCAGTTATGTCCCTTGTAGGTAAGACGACTTTACACAAATATACATTGAATCTCACTACTAGCAAATAAAGAAGATTACCAAATTTTCATGACACCTCATTTTTTTTTCAAGAATTTGTTATTTATAAGCAGAAATAAATTCAAAACTTTGGGTTATTGTCTTATTAAATTCTTATTTATGCAAGAATAAAAATTTTGTAAGCAGAAGGGCTTGTATAATTACTTCAAAATAAAGAAATTGCAAGTGACTAATTGGAAAAGGAGATTTAATTCTTCATTCCAGGTTTATTTATTTATTTGATAAGAAGAATTTTTCAAAAAATGTTATTATATGCATCAAACAGGTCTCAATTTTTGTTAAGGATAATGTTAATTCAGTTCACTTTGCCACTCTATAAACATAATAAACAGTACATTCTTATATTTCATATTGCTAACTGAATCATGTTTTTATTCGGTCACCAAATTTTTTGAGATATGGGAACATATTTTGTTGGTTTCTATAAACAAATATTATATAATGTTATTTAAGGATTAATTATGTTAATTCACTTTTACAAATAGTTGATTCTGTTTATGATTCATGTAATTAGTGAATTTAAACAAATATAAAGGGTTCCTTTGTTGATTTATCTAGACTAAGTATTTTTAAAAAAAGACAAATTTTTGCATATAAACAAAATAAGCTGTAAAGAAGAGGGCAGTATTTGTATCTTAATGTTTAGTAATGGTTTATATTGTTAATTAGAAAAAGTAACAATCACAATATGTCCATTAATTTAATTAAGCTTATTATTATTTGTTTTGATATGATTTAATTAAGCACTAATTAGACTCTATTTTTAGAATCATTTAAGATGTATGGTATTTTTCCAGGTAATTATGATGACTAAGCTGTTAAACCCTGTTACAAACATTTATAGGTATGTTCAATAGGAGAAAAATATGTAGGTGTTTAAATTCATTAAGTAAGATTACCAAATGGAGTATTAAGAGTACAAAAAATATCTATTTTTATCCTATATTTAATTGGATCTAGCAGATTAAGGTGTTTGTTCCTATTATTTATTTACAGAGCTAAGTCCATGCATGCAGAAAATAATTAAAATATTAAGTCACAATAATGGTATCCCATTCCATATTTAGACTAAAAATCACTTTATTTGTTTTTCAAGTTGGTTCTAGGATATGAAATAACTGCTATCTGAAATTTTGGATTTTATTCTTACTATACTAGTTTGAACTTTTTATGAAGGTGTCTTAGACTGAACATTTTCTGGAGGCATCTTGGAAATGGCCTTGGATGAATTTGAGTTAGCCCGAGAGCGCGGCCTGTTTGTTCTAGGCATACTTACTGGAATCCTCATTCTGTGTATAATTGCTGGAAACTTGATTGTCATTTTTTCATTCATAAGATGTAATTTTGAAGTTTTTGTGGCTACTAAGTACTTCATTTTCTCCATGGCAGTGGCAGACATTTTGTTAGGAGCGATTCATCTACCAATGGTTATGGCTTCCCATATCGGAGGAAATCAGATTGCAAAACTTCCAGCTGTGTGTATCATACGCCATGCCTCGGCAATGGGTATATATTCTGCTGTGATGTGTAACCATGTAGCTGTTGCAGTGGATCGCTATATTGCTATTATATGTCCACTGAGATACCATACATTAATGACAAAAAAAATTGCCATCATTATTTTAGTTGTAATTTGGATATTCAGTTGTATGTTAATGACTGCCCCAGTGATGATTAGAATATCAGGTGATAAACAAACAGGAAGTGACATTATGAATTACTGCGGACCATATCGTGAGATTTGGCCTTTAGTAGACAAACATGGCATTCTGGCTTTCTTGGTGTTTATAACTGTGATACCCGTTATTCTTTATATTAGGATTTTTCTTGTGGCACGTAAACAACAGAGGTTTTTAGCAGCAGTTATAAGAATGGCATCATCAGATGAGAGGAAAATGAATCAACATACAGCCAAAATCATGACACTATTGCACTGTATCTTTGTATTGTTTTGGTTTCCCTTTTTGGGGACAATACCAATGTATTTTATTGATGTTAATACAAATGTAAGAGATGTCGTAGTGCGTAGTGCTATATTTTTAGCAAACTGTAATTCAGCTGTAAATCCTTTTGTTTATTTTTTGTTGAAAAGGGAATTTAACTTTGCATGCAAGGCCTTCCTACAGAGAAACCTTCCTTGTCTGCTCAATAGAGACTCAGAAGAAAGTTCACTATAACACAGCGGTGATTATACAGAGTATCTCTCTCTGTTATTACCCACCTGATGTATGCAGGTTTAATATACAGTTGAAATTCGGTATCTCGAATACAGATATCTCGAATACCATGGATATGTTGAAGTGAATTGGAAGTCCCAACCACTTATTCTTTAAGTATTTTACCCTAGATATCTCGAATCCTCAGATAACATAAGTTTTTCCTTGGTCCCATCGGGTTCCAGATAATGAGGTTCAACTGTACCATTATTCATATTGATAAACTTTTCATTCATTCCTAATAAATAGAATGAATACTATAGGATAAATAAACCATTATTCTTTCCTATTATTTATTTTATTTGAAAGAAAGATTCAGGGTTTTTTTTTTCCTACATGCAGTTCAGGTGTAGAGAGATTAATATGAGTATGTTTCACCAGAGGAGAGAGTGTATAGAAATTTGTTTCTTTTGTGTAGCTCTTCTGGATCTGCTAACGTTAATCATCTATCCAATCATGTTTAACTCGGACATTATCAACCTACAAACAGACAGACACTGGCGTTATACACTGAAGACCTGGAACTTTGATTGGACGTACGGCTTTGGATGGGGTGCTTTTATATTCACCACTGCCGCTTCTGTGTTCTTTATTCTTCCTTTGGACGACAAGAAGATTGTCACAAAACCATTCTGAGAGGAATCCAGGAGTCCAAGGCATGTTAATCATATTATGGCTGGAACTATTACTGGGGACTTATAAAAGAAAGAATTTGTTTGGGTATTTAATCTGTAGAATATTTCATACAAGATTGCACAACAGTATTAAATTTTACTGTATAATCTTACTAAAGATGTACAACTACTAGTAGGCAGTAATAGATCAAAAACTCGTGATCAGATATTGTAAAGCAATTCTCTATATTTATTCATTCACTGCATATATGATGTCATGATTTATAGGAAGAACAACTGCTTGCAAGACAAAAACAGTTGCAAAGACAATATGATGCATTTAGTGCAATTGTGTATGATATAGTATATAAAATTAATATTTACTTGTACCAATAAAACCCTGATATAGATTAATCAGGCTGTATACAGATTTTTTTAAATGCCTGTATAGCATAAAAGTAGGAAGCCAAAGGTTGAATGTATTTTTGATTTTTAACTTTTTTAATTTATTGTGACATATTCAGATTTATTACCTACTAATGATTGACTTTCTTCAATGTCAATATCTGGTATGACATAATTGTTCAAGATTTAACTTTCAATTTGCCACAGTGTTTTAGAAGTTGTACAAATAATGTGCCATCTATTGATCAGTCATGTAGATTAATTCACAGTGTCCTCAGTTTTAATTTCACTTCCCCAATTTGAAAGCTACAATTTTTCTAACAATAAATATAATAATCTAGTTCTTTTAAAGTTACTTTCTGTTCCCAAGATTGGTTGTCATTTTTTCAGATTATTGCTTTTATATTTTTATTTTCATGTACATGTATTATGATTTATCTTTTATTATGTCGCTAATGGTGCTATCTCAAGTTTATTTATGCTAGCTGGTTTATTTTGTTCATACTTCAATGCATTCCAATACTACATATACTTAATTAAGAATAAATTATCAGCCTTTACTTGGTTGAAACATTTTCAAAATAGAATTTACAGAATCATCACAAATAAATAATAGATTTACTTTGAATGCATTAATTCACAGACATTGTCTGGTATTTAGATGTACAGTGAAGACAGTATTTATATCTGTTTTATTTGATTACAAGGGGAGACGTGAACTTTCTTTGGTAAAATGTGAACAAAGCATGTTGAACATTCACATGAAGATACATACAAGTCATAGCAATGATGTTCTTTTTTTCATTTAACAGATTTACATAAGTAATGATTTACAACAATATTTGTTTTTTTATTGATATTAGATGGTTGTGTATAGTGTAGACTGTTACATGTATAATGATACCTATTGATTTTCCCCCATTTTGGATAGCTTTAATCAGAAAGTTCATCATAAAATTAATAATGGGACAAATCCTTTATTTGTTGAGAAGATCTACCTCAGTCATTGATGCTGTTTATACTGTATTGTTGTTTGTTTACTTACAAGTGAAGGATGTTGGATTTTACTGTAGTATATTGTGTTGTAAATCCATACGTTCTCTAACCATAACTTACAGCCTAAGCTCTTTTAGGATTTTTGTTATTAAAAAAAAAAGAAAAGAATACCAAACTTTTTGTGTTTCCTTTTTATTTTGACTTTTGATTAAACTTGATGTTGTTTCTTGACAAAAAAGAAGATATTTTCCACTTTTCCAGTTATATAAATGGCGTTCATTTAATGACCTTTATTATATGACCCTGACCTTTGAGATATGATTTTGCAGCAAGCCCATGACACAAGTAGGTCAGCAACGCAAGGTGAAAAGCGTTTCAAAGATATGGTTGTCATAGGCGTCGGAAGTGAAAAAAAAAATTCAAACCTAAAAAAACTTGACAAGCAAAAAAAAAAAAAAAAGTAAAATTGAAAATTGACCAAACCCAAAAATCCTATTTGGGGGGTGGGGTGAACTTCTTGAAAGTGGGGGGGGGGGGCTAAACCTACAGCCCAATGTTCAATGCCTGTATTATGTCTATCTTGGCAAACTTGCCAAAAAAGGGGGGGGGCTAAGCCCCCACCCCCCGTTCCGACGCCTATAGTTGTATATCATTGCCCAGCGATCATAACCTTTGAAATATGGAATAGATTTTATCATCATATAACTGCTTTATCGCTAATGATTTTTTTCAAAAGCAATCTGATTAATTGGTGAAAATATTTTAATGGGCACAATTTCAACATACCTGGCGAGGCAAACTTGGCAAATTCGTTATAGGAATAATAGTCATATATCCCATGAGAGATAACTTTCTTGTCAGAAGGTCACCGAACCTAAATTCAATTTTTAGTCATTGGCAAGAATACTAAGGTTTCAAAACTTAAATCATGGTGATGTACGGGGTTTTAATGATTATTTAGTATCTAAGATTACATTTTTATACAACCGATAACATGGGGAAAAGTGTTTGATATAACGTTACGTTAAGATAACAGAAATATACATATATGTAATTTTTGTCAAGTGTCAATTAAGAGTACAGCCCAGAAAAATGAATGGATGGTTGCAGATTTAACTTAAGTAACTGTGAGCATTTAAGGACCCTTCTCACCTCCCCGTGATCATGAGTTTAATAGCAAACTCCATTTGTTGGCATTATGTAAATTAGATGCTGTGAAAGTTTCATAATTTCATTCAGAAGCTTTGGAGGAGTTGCGTCAATATTATGGGTACACCCTTTTTCGAGCACAATGGCAAAGTCCATTATTTATTAATAATAATTTTAGCTATGCGAAACCCTATGTATGTATCTTTCCGATCGGAACGTAAAATAGGAGATGCACAATGGCACTTTGTAATATTCTGTGAAAGTCATTAAATTTTATTCAGTGGTATAGGAGGTGTTGTGGATAAGAGATGGGTACCCCCAAGCTTAGAAGTCATGTTTTGCTATGGGAAACCCCAAATATCTTTCCTATCGAAACGAAAAATAAGAGATGCAAAAAGGCACAACGTTATAAAGATTTTGTGAAAAGTTCAAGTTGCGGATAAGGGTGGCTACCCCACAGTAGATGCAGGCACGTAGTATTGAGGGAAGGGGATGGCTGTCCCCCCACTTTGAAAGGGTGGATGGCCCCCGCTTTTTGTAGTGGTATAGTTAGACTGTGGTACGTAATGCACTTGGTAATGTACATGCATCAGGAAAATTTGATCGTGGAAAAAAGTTGGAACCTGCCCTCCCCGCCCCCCAACAAACGGAATAGGATTTTGGTGTTTGGACAAGTGACCTTATTTTTCTTGTCAAAGTTCATGTAAGTTGCCAAATTTTTTTTATGGCCCATTTTAATCCAATAACGATACTACGTGCCTGAAAAGGACGTACGGACACCATCACTATATACCCCCCCCCCTTCACCTTTAAAGCCGGGGTATATAAAAACTAGAATTGAACTCACAAAATGAGAACCCGGCTCCCATACGAGTATAAAGGCAAATTGCATTTCATGGAAGTATGTAAGTGAGATTTTGTGAAAGTTCTAATGAGTTTCATGCCGGGGTACAAGAGGAATTGCGTTAACAAAATGGATATTCCCTCTATCGAGTATAATGGCAATGTCCATGTTTTGCTATGGGAAATCCAAAGAATTCCAAATATTGTCTGACTAAACGAGATGACTTAATTCAGCTTTTCCATTGTCAACTTCCCATATTAATATGTAATGATATTCCACAATTACCTGCATATGGTGTTTATGTCTTCCAACTGATACTCAAGAGGGTGTCCGAGTACGATCAATTTTTAACCAGAGACTATTGACCAGTAAATTGATATTACAGGGTTTTCTACTATCTCGATTAAAATCGTAGCATATTCAGCAAATTTTATGGTCGTTATATCGACTGTTTGCAATTAAAAACAACCTATCTTTGGGTCGTATTTTAACTGACATGTTTCACATCAATTGTTAGGCTATTGTTTTATGCTATTTTGAGCACGGATGACTCCGTTTACCTGATTAATACAGACGTCTCACGGCTGATGTGTTCAGTCGACAGGGAATGCTTACTCCTCCTCGGCACCTGACCTTCCAGGGATCCGTATTTTTGCCATATTCACGATTCATATATTCTTAACTGAATTTATGAGATTGATTACTGTCCGTTTTCATCACCTTTTACATAAATTTCTGTAAACATTTAATTGGAGGCATACAAAAAAAAATGGCGATTTAAAATCCTAAAGAACCCGCACTCAATTTAGATTGTCGTAACAAAAAATGATGCTTCTGTAAGCTACCCAAGGGGTGGCTAGTATTTCTGAAACCTCAGTATGTATACAGGTCATTGCTTCATCATCTAAATAAATCATCTATTTACCAGGATGCACCAATTTAATTTGCTCTCATGTAAAATAGACCAGGCTCCTCTCTCTGTAGATACTTGGTGGAATAATACTTAAGATGATGATCAGTCATACTTATCATTTATTGTACGTATAGCATCTCATTATCATAACAATATAGGCAATACACATATAACAACATAAGAAAACATGGCTGATTCTTCAGAAACACAAGTTTAGGTCGTCCAGTGTGGTAGGAGATTTCTAACTAGGCTAATTACTTGTAATTTACATTATAAGTATCTCACCGTCTTAGCTTTCTTCTTTATCTTTTTAAATGTTGCCGCCGTACAACTAGCTGAAATCTGTCGTAACGTAGTACGCGCTTGCTTATATAACCTCCTATCCCCTGTCACATGACACAAATTATCCAATGAAAATATGCAGTACGAACTATCAACCAATCAACAGCTTGTACGGGAAGCTGAGTTCCCACACAAGTTCCCATACAGAACTACTTTTGCCACACAAACTGCCGTACAATATCGTAACAAAAATAACAACGTAAAATTAACAACTGGAAATAGAATACATAACATAAACTTGACTAGACGAATAAATTAATACCTTCAATGTTTATAAAACATCCCTAGGCTGTACAATAGATACTGAACAATATAGCGTATGAATATCGTAACTACCAACGATAGCGTAAACAAATGTAGTTCCGATCAAGCTGACTGATAATAAAGTTAATGCTGACAATAAAGAACTACTTATAGCCTCAAAATACACAACAACTCAAATTAAAATGTAGAATCTGATCCAATATTCATAACTTGAATCATAGATTACTATAGTAAATATGTCACTTAACCGGAAGTGACGATCCGAGTAAAGTATGATGACTACCAAAACATGAAATGTAAAATCCACCCTCTTATCCCTGATATTATAAATCCTACAACTTTACATGAAGCAACAACAGGTAAAATATGACGACAATAGCTATTACTACAATCGTATCAAGATAGGCTGACATATTATTTTCAATAAAATCGTAAACGAACAACTTTTCTGGCAGGCACATGATAAACATAGATTTAACAAGTATGAAAACTGGACGACCGCATAATATTACGTATAAAAATAAAGTGATATATTACAATATATTACACTTCATTTGATCTTCTTATACATCAAAATCATTTCTCTCCCTCATCCCTGGAATCATTGAGACAGAGGAATTAAGGGAGGGAGAGAGAGATGCATTTATTTAAGGTATTTGTACTCCATCTCCAGGTAAACAGATAATTTGAATATGCATTACTGTAAATAAATGTTCTTTTGCTTGTTGTTACTTGACAGGATAATTATTTATGGAAGTGCCTGAGCCTATGGCATATCAAACGTTGCAATATTCTATCCTTTCCATTTGTATTGTATAATTTTCCATTTGTATTGTTTAATTTTCCATTTGTATATAATGTATACTTTTCCTTTTGTATTGTATACTTTTCCATTTGTATTGTAAAATTAAACAATAAAAATGGAAATTTATAGAATACAAATGGAAAATTATCCAATACAATTGGAAAATTATAGATAAAATAAAAATTATACAATACAAATAACAACTTATAGAATACAAATGAAAAATTATAGAATACATATAAAAATTACACAATACAAATGAAAAATTTTACCATACAAAAATGAAAAATTAAAAAATACAAATGAAAAAAATTTACAATACAAACGAAAAATTGTAGAATACAAATGAAAAATTGTAGAATACAAATGGAAAATTATACAATACAAATGGAAAAGATCGAAATTTGCAAAGTTTGACATGCCATATGAGTCTATCCAATCTCCATCTTATAAAAGTCTTCATAAACATATGGTATAACAGTCTCTTCAAAACTCAAGCGATAATTCAATTACTAAATAATACCTAACTGCACAATTATCTGTCCATTTAACAGACAGCAATGTTGAGTTACAGGTAATGTGTGCAGAAATTTCGCAACAACCTACCTTTAATTTATTATACGCATTGTTTGAAATCGAAACTAAAGGATATTTTTTTCTCCTGTGACGTCAGATATTATGTTTAAATTCTACTGATATTTTGGGAATCATACTTTTGTTCATTGACGATGTTGGCATATCCGTGTTACGTTCATTGTTCCGAAGAAACCAGATTTTATTGCAATATGTGCCAAAGAAGAATATGTGATGATTGTGTACTCGCGGAATGTAAAGGGCACCCTTTAGAAAGGGCGAGAAATGAAGTTGATATCAAGAGGTCAGCCATAAAGCAAAAATTAGAGGCAATGAGCCGAGAAAAAGATCAGACAGTTGGGAATTTCCGAGCGAAAATGACCTCTATTGATGAAGGTATTGAAAAGGTTCACAAACGCACAGAAACGCTTAAAAACGCACTTGACAAGATTTGCCAGAAAACTCTGGAGGAGTTGACGAAGTCAAAAGAAGAAATGGAGAAATACTTCAAGGAAATTGAAAATAATGTTCAGGAAAAAGAAGAATTTGCTACAGAGTCCTTAAAGAAGTTGGGTTCAATGAATGAAGATGAGATAGACAAAGTTGATGCCAGGATGAAAGTTCTAGAAAATATTGATCTTCTTTTTTTAAAATCGACACCACCAACATTTGTAGGTCCTGTCGGACAGAACGACACAGTTGCTCTAAAGACCGTCTTTGGTTATGTACAGTTTGGGCGATATGAAGAAGTGTTGTTACCCGTGGAGGAAGATGGATATTTACCGATGAGTCCAAAGCCCTCGGAACTGCCCAAAAGGCCACCAAAAAGTGGTCGTTATGAAGAAGTGGTGTTGCCGTCGAAGGACGATGAATATTTGCTGATGAGTCTAAGGTCACCGGAAGTTCACAAAACACCCTCAGGAAGACAAAATATTTTCACAGCCAAGATAGTACTCACCTACAACCTAGGCATACAGCCCCATCATTTTATAAAGGAGAATGACGAGTTCTTTATAACCGACAAATCCAAACTATTCAAAATAAAGCCCGAGAAAGAAAAACAGCCGAAGGAGCTAGTAGATACAAACGACATCATCAGAGGGATAGAAAGATCCAATGAAAATCTTATTCTGATGACATCAAGTATGGTGTATATACTTGAGATGAAAAGTGCAAAAACAAAAAAGTGCCAATTATCAAATTTTGTAGATCCCCTTGGATTACTCTTGGCATGTATGGGGAATAGCGTCCACGGGGACTCATTATTGCTAGGACTAAAAATTACTGGAGACGAAGCGTTCGAACTAAGAAGGTATCCGATTGAAGAGAAAGTATGTGTAGCATTTGAAAAATTGGTTCTGCCCAGAGAAATACAGATTCCGTTAATTTCACACGTGGCCGAGAATACAAATGGCGATATATGCGCTATAGTCAAGGACGAAGTTGACTCTTCGTTTTTAGTTTGCTTTGACAGCGAAGGAGTCCTTCGATATAGGTATCCAAAAGATGAAAAACTCAAAAGGAAATTTCTGGGGATCGGTATATTAAAGGATGGTATGGTTGTTCTTTCAGACGCTTGTGTTTTATCAGGAATCCATTTTCTTGACCAAGATGGGTGTCAGTTACACTTTGAACGAAGAGGGAAAGGAGGGCCCTTGCCCATTAGTATCGTTACTGATTTTAATGACCTCGTTTGGGTTGGATTTGATGATGGAACAGTCGAGGAAATCAAATTTACCAGAGAGTCCAGTTTTTCATAAGACTCAAGTGGATGATTTCTTACGCTATAACTATAACCAAAAGGAATAGCGTAGTTCATATATGTAAACAGAGAGAATCCGGGCTTTGTCTTTTTGAACAAAGGTGTATACTAGTACTGTTCGTGTTCGTATTATTGATCTGCATTGAAGAAGCATATTTCAATAATCTGCAATTAATATAGAGATGATAATTGAAATTATATTGCATTGTCAGTATCATGTCCAATTTACTTTAGAATGTCACAAGGATGATCTATTTGAAAGTCACTTGATTATAGTCTATAAAACAAGTTAAGTGGCCCATGGGCCACATCACTCAACTGAGCACTTTGGCTAGAGAAAGCCGAAATTGGTTCATTGTTGAAAAGTTTTAATATATAAGTGGTTCCAAACTACCCCAGGGGTTGTGATTTGAAAATAAAATGATTCTATACAAACTGAAGATGGTTTAATATTTTGTTGACTATTCATGGCATTAGAAGATTTCCTAGTATATATTTCTATGTAAAAGTTTGATTTTCAATTGTGGCCCTGCTTTTCCCCCGGGGGACGTGATTTGAACAAATTTGAATTAACACTACCTTAGAATCTTTCCATATAAATATAACTAACCATGGCGTTGCTGTTCTTGAGAAGATGAATTTTAAATATTTTTTTTCTATATACCGTATATACTCGCCTATAAGTCGGTCCGCCTATAAGTCGGTTGTGATTTTTGAGATTATTTTGGAGGGATTTGCCATTGACCCGTCTATAAGTCGGTACAACTTTTTGCCAGGATCGGTGGGCAATTTCAAATCAATTCTCTAATGTTTTAACATGTGTTTCAAATAATAATTTGAGAAATTACGCCGACATTTTATCTCTCTTTTGTCTTCTCTTATAAATTTCATATCAATACTCTACATAAATGTATTTACCTGTGGTCAAATAATATGTTAGGATATGACATCGGTAATTAATATTTTTATTTTTCAACAAACCAGACCACTACCATTTTAGTTTTCTTTTTTATACTGTTTTGTTTAAGCGTTAAATTCCTTGTCTTGTATATTTTATACACCGATCTCGATCATAGGCGGATCTCGATCTCTTTGGCATGGTGAAGAACTATGTAACGAGTCTAGTAACATTTTGATGATATTTAATTAGGAGGTGCTCAATGTCCAAGCCATATCTAGAGTTTTTAATAACGCTATGTTTGATATTTTATTAGCAATTATTGTCTCTTAATTACCTGTATCCCTTACCTGACACCGTGCTTATTTAGTGGCACGCGCCCCGAGAAAATCGGGTACTACACATGGGAAGCATTTTCATAAACAATCGAGTTTTAATAGCTCCAGAATAGTATTTTGAATTATTTTTTAAGAATATTATTTCTGTTGTCAAAAACGTTGCAGACGGTACCTATAATTATACATTAAAGCTGAACATATTACCGGTATATCGGGTTCGTAATTCAAGTTTACCGACAAACGATAGATTTACAGTAAGTCACAAGTTAATTAAAGAAATATTTTTGTTAATAATTAATCAAATAAATAATATACACTTAAGATCAAAATAAAATTGTAAATACTTGTACTTTATATATAATCTTAGAATACATAAATAATACGTCCAGACATTTCTCAACGATAATCGTCGAAGGTATGTTAAAAATACTATATTTTGTCGTCCAGAAAAATTCCAAGCTTTTGATGACTCGCCTATAAGTCGGACATAGAGTTTTGGACCAAAAGTTAACGCCCAAAAAACCGACTTATAGGCGAGTATATACGGTATACCTATGTAAACATTTGAACGCCCATTGTGGCCCCAACCTACTCACAGGGGTCAAGATTTGAAATCATGAATCTTCACTACCTGAAGATGTTTCCAAGTAAATGTGACTAATCATGACTTTGCTGTTCTTTAGAAAAAGATTTTTAAAGATTTTTCCCATAAGTCCTATGTAAAACTTTGATCGCCCATTGTGGCCCCACCCTAGTCCCAGGGGTCATCATTTAAGCAATCTTGAATTCCTGAGAATGTTTCCATATAAAAATGACTAATCATGGCATTGCTGTTCTTACGAAGATTTTTTTCTTACATATTCCTACGTAAAACTTTGATTCCTTATTGTGGCCTCGCTATAGCCCCGGGGGTCATGACTTAAACAAACTTCAATTAACACTACCTAAAGATGCTTCCATGTAAATATGAATAATAATGGCTTTTCGGTTCTTTAGAAGAAGATTTTAAAAGATTTTCCCGAAGTATTCTTATGTAAAACTTTGATCGCCCATTGTGGCCCCACAATAGCCTATGACACTATGACTTATCATGGACTTGCTGTTCTTAAGAAGATTTTAAAAGATTCTTCCCTATAATAATATATTCCTCTATAATTATGTTGATCGCCTGTAACCCCGCCCTAGCCCGGGGGTCATGATCTGAACAAACTTGAATCTACACTACTAAAGGATGCTTCGATATAAATATTATTAACCATGGCTTTGCTGTTCTTGAGAAAAAAGATTTTTAAAGATGCCATTAAATTTTCACTTATTCTCCATTATCTCCCTTTGAAAGATGGCGTGGTCCTTCCTTTAAACAAACTTGAATACCGTTCACCCAAGGATGCTCTATATCAAGTTTGGTTGAAAATGGCCCAGTGGTTTTGGAGAATAAGAAATTGTAAAAAAAAGTTAACGACAACATCGATGACAACGGACAAAATTTTAGAAAAGCTCACTTGAGCCTTCGGCTTAGGTGAGCTAAAAGTGCAAGGGCCTGACAGGAAGACTTGTACAAAATTTATCTGAAATTTAAGATCTTCAGTTTTTTGTAGTAGATAACGCTGGCTTTAACCTGTTGATGACATACATTAAATCTAACATCCAGTCATGCTTTACATTATAAGCATTTATTGCACAAAAGACATAATAGATTGTCAATCCTTTAATAGTTAACCTTCAACATACATTCTGATCGATATAGATGATTGGGTTACTAGTATTAAACCAAAGTAGACGCGGTGTCCCAGAGCTATGTAAATACCAATTCTCAAAGAAATAGTTACTTCCTGGTTGATTGAGATTTGAACAGAATATCAGGTAAATATTTAATTTGTTAAATTTAATATCAATTTAAATATCAGAACTCTTCATGCACAGCCCTTTCATTTATTAGCTGATTTATGTTGAATTAAAGTCAAATGTCTTCCCGATCGTCGTCTACTTCGGAGTGTTCCATCCATGACGAAGATACACGATTTTTCTGCTTCACGTGCAACAGACGAATCTGTGATGAATGCATCGGTGGTGATTGTAGAAATCACAACTTCGGCAAGGCTAGAAACCTCATAGAAGAGAGAAGAACATCGACGTCACTGAAACTAAAGCAGTTCCAGAAAGACTCTTATCCAATATTCGCAAAAGATATAGAAAAGATGGCGGCTGAAAGCGAACTGATACAGGAAGAAATAGATAATGTGAAGAAACGTGTCGAGCATCTCAAAGAGACAGTAGACAAGATAGCCAGCGAAATAGTACAGGAATTAAACTGTTCAAAACAAGAAATTGATAACGTTCTACAAAGTGAGAAAGAAGCTGTGAAAGAAATTGAAGCATTTGTTGACAAGTCTTTGTCGTCTGTTTCTTCACTAGAGGAAACGGAAATAGATTGTATTGAGAAGCGATTACAGGAATTGCAATCACGGCAAACAAAGTCACGAGAACAAGCCGGAATACCAAAATTTGTTCCGTCACCTTCGAAAGACATCTTCACTGCATTAAAACCACTGTTTGGAGAAATAAATTATGAAATATACGAGAAAATCGAGGAGCCTGTTCAACCTGACGACGAGGGAGAGTATTTAGTTCCTGTTTCCCCTGCTCCCGAAATTCCTCCCAAAACAATCGTCACGTCAATATCTTCTTTATCACTGAAATTCAGTCCAGAATTTTTGGCTGTAGCAAATGAATGTCTTTTCATGGCATCAGGAATGGAAATCTACGAAGTCAAAAGTAATGATAAAATTGCTCAGATAAAAGCTGATATCAGTTTTGAGATAAACGGATTCATTGTTAAGTCTTCAAAAGAAATACTTATTTCTTCTATGCAGAAAACTGGAATATTTAAACTGCAACAGAAACAGAGACTTCCTCTAATTCCAAAAGATAGACATCTAACCTCTTTTTTATTTGTCGATCCATTTCCGTATCAACCGACGTGTATGAGTTTATGTCAATCTGAAAAAGAAATTCTGGTAGCTTTGCAGTCAAACGCTCAACAAGCTGTGTCCGTACATCTTCAGAAATATCCCCTATATGAGGATAAAGAGTTCAAATTTGAAAACATTCCCATCTCTACTAACTTGAGCTTTACCAAAATCACAGGAGTTTTGGAGTCTGCTAGAGGATATTTTTGCCTTATAAATGAAACTACTGTATGCACATCTCACGTTGTTTGTGTGGATAGTACTGGAGAGCCTCGTTTTCGCTATCCCGCAGACGATAAGCTCAAGAGATATTTCGTGGGTATATGCATGTTAAAAAGTGGAATTATTGTTCTTGCAGACTCCTGTGTTATGTCTGGTATTCATCTAATAGACGAAGATGGCAAATTGATATTGATGAAAAGGATGAACTCAAAACCAACTTGCTTGGCAACAGATGGGAGGTTTATCTGGATAGGATGTAATAATAACAAAGTGGAAAAGTTATCCGTGTCATCTCTAAATGCTCATTCAAATCTTACATAGCTGTGCTCACAATTAATGTTCAAATCACCATCAATAATTTGAGTAAATTATTAATTTATTGATCTCTCCTTCGAAAAGGGGGACAAGTAACATTTTTGTTGATATTTGCATCACAATTTTTTTTTTTTTTTTTTTTTTTTTTTTTTTTTTTTTTTTTTTGCTGTTAACATACATTAAGAACCATAATCAGATTTTGGTACGTCTTGATGTCTTCATACATTAATAGTAATTACACCACTAAAAAGTAAAACCAATGGACTACTTGTTTTTTGGTTAAAATGACTGGGTTCATATTTTGGAAATATGCTTTACATTGGATAGAGTAACTAAGACTTTTTGTAAGGAAGGAATGTTCTGTAATTCAATTTAGGCTCGATCAATTAACATTCGAAGTAAATATTAAATGTAGTTTGAAAAAAGATTATAAATATTTTTTTTCAGTCCTCATGGCATCGATGTTCAATTAAGATAAAATTAAATGAGTATTGATCTTGTTGTTATATATATATATATATATATATATATATATATATATATATATATATATATATATATATATATATATATATATAAAGAACTGTCAACTTTGACTTTTTATCTGAGCTGATTTTATGAAATGAATTGTATTAAACTTTATATCTTCCAATGATTTGGAGACTGCTATTTGATTTTAAAGCAGTTAAAACGCTTGATAAGGACTTTAATCCATGCAAAACCCACAGTTAATGATAATGACCGCATAAAAAGAAGAATTTTATGTCTCCACGTACACTGATAAATGTAGTACTTCTTTATTTCTTGCCATTTTGCACAACGTATCTCGATTGAGTACGTGGACGTGCTCTCGGTCTTTATAAAAGCCAGAGTTTTGTGCCTAGACGCCATACAATATACTATAGTTGTAAGTGTAGCAGTAAGATTTTAATCGTAGTTGTTATATTAAGACATTGTCCTGAGTAAAATAGTGTACCTACTAGTAATCTGAAGTCTTGGTATTTGTTTTGAAATTAAGAACCCTCTATACACTGCACACTAAAGAGTTCTGATTCTGTGGTATTTTTACTGCAGTCAGAGTGATCTGCCCTTAGATCTAAATTCAAATAAACTGAAATCTACAGTGTATTTCTCAATTTGTAATCAATTCAAGCATTCTTAACAATTTAAAAGGCCAAGATAAATTAACTGAACACTTCATTTGCATATATTTTATCCACTTAAGTAAACAACAGTGATTTCTGTTCATTGATATTTTGTTGTCTTTGAACATTTTTCCTGGGGGTAAATGCCATGTACCATATATTGAAAATTATATAGATAAGCTCAAAATTTACACCTATATACAATATAATTTTCTCAATGTCCAAAAAACATTTTGCACTGGTGTATAGAGGGTCCTTAAGGTTATAATAGTTAATTTTACACCTCATTGGGAAAATAAAATTCTTTTAGTGCTGATTGGGCTTGCAATCTTACCAAAGGAATATGAAAACATTATATTCGTCTTAAATTAGCTCGTGCATACACATTCGTGTATTTCTCTGCCATTGCATTTTTTTTAATTTGAGGGGGAAAAAATGAAATAATCAAAACACAAGGAAGCTGATAGGGGCTGCAGGAGGCATTTAGTTTTTGGTGTGTATGTTTGTCTGCAAACACTGTTGAACAGTTGACGTTAGGGCTTTTAAATTCCACATATGTATTCCTTGTTACCTTTCTTTGGATACCAACATTTTTTTTATTTGGACCCCATGATCCTGCATGGAGTTTGACCTACTTTTGGAAAAGAACTTTAACCTTGTCCATGAGCTGCCATACGGGGGCATCAGTCTTTCATGAACACATCTTGGCTTCTTTTTTTCATTTAAGTTGTCGATTAATTGTTATTTTTGTTTTTATTTACGACTTGATTTGAAAAGTACATGAAAGGAATAAAATGTAATTAAAAAAAATAAATAAATTTCTGCTTCCTAGTGTCCTTTCTGACATATTTTATTTTGTCAAATAAAATCTTAGCCTTAGTGGTCATATTTTCAGCATTCCTCATTATAACTTCCAGTTACATTTAACATACGTGCATTAAAAACAAATCTGCTACCGACACAGCTCTTAATTGTTTTTGCCATTTTTTCTGTATTACACATACTTGAACATTTTGCGGTTTTTTACCTGGCTGAGCAATGCTATCTCGATCTATTTAAGTCTATTTTTATCGATGTGTCAATGGAAAAAAAAACTTGCATTGCTTTGATGATAACATTTGTTTAAACTCAAAAATAAAAATGCTTATTTCAAAATGGGTAACTACTGTGCATATGTGTGCATGTATTCTACATTTTTTTTTAATGTGGTAGAAGCATTTTTTTTTTTAAATTTAAAATTAAAACATGACATATATCTTCACGTGGTCATGGTTTTATGCAGTTAAAATAATCTATAATTTACCGTGAGTTAACATATAAAAGGACAGAGTAATGGACGAAGTCGGTTCTTGGAAGAAGTTGATGACAGAGATTCAGTCAATTCATGTGAAACTGAACAGACATGAAGAAATTTTAAATGAAATATCTAGAAAAATGTCGAACCGCTCTGTGGAAGTTAATAACAACAACCACAACTATCGCCATGGATACGCGGCCAGTGACGAGACATCAACTGATTCTTTGTCATTAAGTACAACTACTGAAAACACAGGTTTGTACGAAAAATATTATTTTTGACAAACTGTAAATATAATTTATTTGCTTTCTTCTTAATCAAACATTTTAATTTAAAGCTTTATATTTTTGTCAAAATGAATTTCAGAAATATTTTACCTGCCCATTATATGTAAGCGAACAATTCATATGCCCATACACATGTACATGTACGTGTATTTTCAGAATCTACATTTGATGCCTTCTTGCAGTCGGAGCACATTAATTTTGTGGAACGTCTTCATATAAATGCTTTTCTGGACAGCCTCCTGGAAGACTATATCCTTTCACCGTCTGACCATGAGAACATCAGAAAACTGAGCCACAATAGAAAAGACCAGGTTCGGTTTCTTTTGATGCGTCTTCGTCGTTACGGTCCACAGGTTTTCCAGCGTTTCAAAAACATTCTTGAGAAGACGGATGACGAATGGTTGAATACTATCTCGGACGTCAGGACGGATGGAGAATGTTTTAAACAAGACTGCGTCGCCTGCACAATAGCAAAGAAGGTTGATATCCGTGACTCCATAGATGTACTGTATAGTAAGGGATTGGTACACCATGACACAATGGAGGCAATGCTGAGCTCTCTCAGGACATCAGAAAGTGTCTGGAGACTGGTTTTTAGAGACATTGACAAACACGGAGGCTTGTGGACACATATGGAAACTGTGCAAGAAGCTATATCTCCACAGTACATTGATCTTAAAGAGAAACTAAGCTACATTAAAGAGATTATGCTGTGTTCTTCTTGCAAAGGTGCATATCCAGTCTCAAGTTCTAGGAGCAATCTTACCACTAGCAGTTCTGATTCGATACAAACAGTGCAAAAAGATGTGGATTCAAATCAATTACCGAACTTCAGTTTTAATCTTGAGAGAAGAGAAAAGTTGGAAAAAGAATCAAAAAATTATGACCATGAAGATCATTTAGGCGCAGAAGATAAGGCAGACCAATCGAAGAAGGCCGACCTTAGAAGGTTTGGGTTTGCACCGGAGTCCATGAGCAGCAACGGAACACAAACTTTGGATGACTTGTTGCGTTTCCATGAAGATGAAAAACCCTGCTCACAAACCTTGAAAACTGTCGTACCCGGAGTCCTGCGCCGTACACAGTCGGACAGGAGGTTCGACAACTATCGTCCTATTTCCTCTAGCGTCCGTCGAAGTCAATCGGACCGAAAACAGAAAGAAGTTCAAACCAGAGTACATATGTTCGGAAGACTTGCTATGGACAACCCACCAAATTATAACCGTAATTTGAATACATCTTTTCCTGTAAAGGCCCAAAGGGAACCGTGTTTGTCTCATTCTGCAAAAGCAGTTTATCGTTCACACAGTGATAGGAGAGAAGACAGGAAGTCTTACGTACATGTAGGAAGAAGGCGCCACACACTTTCTGGAATGAATAGCAACATGTTTCAATATAGGCTAACGGACTCCAAAACATGATTAATCAGTCAGATTTGTCGATGTTCTTACATCTATTGATTTGTTTTGTTTACTACCACTTATGTTTGTTTTAATTGTAGTTATATGTATGTTACATTAAAAGTTTAAATCTTAAGTTTAAACTTGTCTATAACTATCTAGCAAAACTTCGAATCAACAACGAAACAACTCATCTCCGTTCAACATGAAAGTGCCGCAAGAGTCTCACAACTAGAAACAAAACCTACAGAAACCTAAACCTGAAATACAGCAGGAAATAGTCGACCTAAAAATAAAACTAAACAATGCAAACTAGAACAATAAAATGGCTTCAGACCGTATATATCAGAGCTTTCTGCCGAGAATAAAAAACAAACGGAGGAAATCCTAATGTTGTCGACACAGCTATACACAGCAGACCAGAACATGAGAAAACAACAGGAGCAGACAGACGAGCAGGAGGCCAACATCAGCAGTCTCCGCTTTCAAGTTAATGGTCAAATGCACGAGATTAATTCCCTCCGTTTCACAATCGACTCTCAAATTCAAGAAATCGAAAACCTCCAGAATCAAATCGACGACCAAGATCAGGAAATCGAAAGGTTAGAGGACATTATTGATTACGAGAGACAAAACGGACCCAGCCCTTACCCGGGGTACAACAACTTCCACGGACATTGTCAGTGCCAACAGTGCTCACCATTTTATTGAGGGTGTTCCTTTCTAAAACACGAGGACGTGTTTTCCCTGAGAGGCCTAAGGATATTATCACCGAGCAAAATTAACATTTTTGAAATAAATAACTTTTTAATATATTATATACTAAATTTGGACGTTTATCTGTTAAATGTTCTATCCATTATCATTGTATGTCTATTATTTATTTGACTGTGTCTCATTCTCTTTGAAGCAGGATTAAGACATTCCAATTGACTTTTAAGTAACTGTCAAAAGAATTGATACTCGTTAGGTGTAAATGCCTCAGGACCTGTTAATCTTATATCAATAACTTGTTTATATAATTATTTAGCAATGTCTTTTATCCCATGTTTACCCCTTTATCCCGTGGATATGACTCATTGGATAAATTTTTCATAATCCACAGTTGTGACGTCACAATGGTTTTTGCGTTAGCGCGATGAAGTAAAATAAAGTGGAGTCCTATATAAAACAGTGTAAAATATTGGTTGTGAAGTATTAAACATGGGATAAAAAGAATCTCCCATGATTTGTAGTTGGATATGACTTTTATCCAACTCGTTGTGTGTTTTTATCCCCTCGCCAAGGCTCGGGGATAAAAAACACACAACTCGTTGGATAAAAATCATATCCAACTACAAATCATGGGAGATCCTATATTTATGTCCATTCTATCAAAGAAACATACATGTCCATCAATTAATTCAGCCAGTGTCATAATTCAATTATTGTTTACTCTCTATCTAACAAAAAGCTATGTCCATTATTCCCTCTTCAGTTTGGAGGCCCGATGTTCTACCGGCCACATCCAACTCGGTTAAGACTTGTAAACTATATTGTTAAATTTCATATTCATTGTTATTTACCATCGTCCATAATAAATTTCGTAAACCTGATTTTACCAGTTCTTGGACTTTATATTGGGAGACCATAAGGAATACGGCACCTTTTTCGTTTACGTTGTATTCCCGCCAACATTCCTTCTTCCCCTTTTGCGCTAAAACAACGGATATAGTCCATGTAGTCCAGGAATTACTTTTATAACTTATAACCAAAATCTTACTGGTTATATGTATAATATATCACTAAACGATTAGTATTGCTATTGATCGAAATTTATTTTCAAAAAGTTACCTTACATCAAATATAATCGAATCTATTGGTTATTGATTAATCGTTACCGATTCTTCTAAGCAAATAAATGGTGTTACAGCTGGTGGACTTTGTTAAAGCGAATTGTGGTTATCAAAATGTCTGCCAGTCATAGTACTTCGTACATAAGATTAAATATTGAAAAGCACTCACAGTATAATGCAACATGTGCAAGCAGCGTCAAGAAATTGGTACTTTAAGAAAAATACTTAAAAAAAAGCAAACTATTAGAAAAATATATGGCTGTTCGTAAATTTAGATTGCCATGTTAATACTTGCATGCATAAGAAAACCCAAACAACCAATGTAACTGGTGCCGTTTACTGAAATTCGAGTCGTCGATATCGTGGCGAATTCGAGTCGTCGATATCGTGGCTCACCTGAGCCGAAGATTCGCGCAAGATCTACTCTGTTGTTTGTTCGTCTGTTAATTTTTTTTTATATCGATTTCTTCTCCGGCCACTTTCCGATTTCAATTTTGGGTGAAGGTTAATTAACTTTTCTTCAAATACAGGACTGCATCTTTTTTCGTAATAAAATAATTAATACGATGATTTTCTTATTTATGGGGTGATTGAAAGAAAAATTTAAGATCCCCTGGTCAATAATAGTGTTATTATGCATATTTGTTCATTGTCGGTCGGGCCCCATCATTAAGGGTCTAATATTTACATTGGAATGTACGAGAAAATTCTAATTCAAAATGTTTTACATTGAAATATGTAAATTTCAGTAAAATTAACAAGACTACACTTTATTTATTTGAAACATCAATTAAATGACTTTATTTTGATGGCCACGGTAAAAGGTTACATATTTCAGGAAGAGGGAACTGGCTAGATGACTGAAGTGTTTGTTGTCATTGTTCACAAATGACTCACTATGTGTACAGCGAATATGATAACATCCTACCTAATAGAAGTCTGTAAAATTTAAAACTATTGTTAAAGTCTGAATATTGTCTTCTTTGATTATATCTTCAAACAGGAGCATTTTTAGTTTACAGGAAATAAGAAGAATGAAAAAGAAAAGTTTAAAGTATATTTTAGAAATGCCTAAACTTTAGCCATGCACTGCAATTTAGTTGAAATAACTTTTGATACATATAGTAAAATGCTAGCGTACTGTTTTACGTGTCTCACCTAGTTCTTGGGGAAGAGTTTCAGAGGATTTTTCCTAATGTCTTTCCATGAACATTGTTAATTAAAAATGAACATTGTTGTTTTGACTACTTTACTCATAACAAGTGAGTTATCCCCAAAACTAAAGAAAGTGCTTATTAATTATAGAACAACTCAAAAATCAAAATAGACAAAAATTCTGACATATATATCACTAATACAAATCAGTGTAGTTTCCATGTCAATTTGATAATATGCATCGATCATAGTGCTTGCAAATGACTCTCAAATCATCGATATAATAAAGAAGAGAGATAATAGAAAAGAAAAAAGTCACAAGCTAGAGACATTTGCAATCTTTTATAAATTTTGTTTTCATATTTCTAAATTATTCAATGCACAGGGCTGTTACAAAAGTGATGAAACAAGCAAATTCAAAGAATTCAGTGCCCCCCCCCCCCCCCGCTTTCGGTGTCTTATAGCGGTTGGGATGCAATTATTTATAAATAGCATATTATAACTGTCTTGTTTGTGTGCCCTAGCTGTCTTGTCTGTTCATCATTCAAAAAAGATATAAATTATTGAATTAATAAAAGTTATGGCAAAGATTAAAGCTTCTCAGAACTGCATCAAAGTTCGAGATCAAGGTCATGAGGTCAAATACCATAATATAATCCGAAAGGTTTTGTTATAAGTAATGCACATGTATTTAAAAAAAATATGAAAGCCCTGTCTCTTCTGAAACAAAAGTAATGGCCAAAATTCAAATTTTTGATAAGTAGGTCGAACTTCTTGGTTCTAATTGTCACAGGTAATGCACATGTCAAAAATGAATGCTCAATTTTCTCTAATTCAAAAGTTTTAGCTAATATTAAAAGTTTGAAAGGTAGGTCAAATTTCAAGGTCAAGGTTACAGGGTAAAAAATTATAGTATATTTGGAAAAGACACAAAACCTTTAACTTTGGTCATAATTAACTTCTGAATGAGAAAAGATGGGGCTTCCATTTTTTCACATGTACATTACCTGTGGCAAGACCTTTCCACATATATACAGTGGGACAGACTATACATTGGCAATTCCGTTTGAATGAGGGAAGATAGGGCTCTCATATTTTACAGCCGAGTACATTACCTATATTACAACACCATTCAGAAAGGTATATCATTTTTGACTTTATGATCAGCATCTTGACCTAGAAGTTTGAAGGACACACAAACAAAACAGTTACAATATGCCATAAATAACGTGAACTGCATCTTAACCACCCAAAGTAAGGGACCACGGTTCTTTGAATTCCCTTGTTTTTTATAAACCAAAAACAGCTACATAATCACAAAAACATCCATCCAGAGGGGAGGTGGGTCAGTAAATTCAGGTAAGTTAGACTGAAAATGATAACCCACCCCACCCCCGACAATAGACCCCTTGGGAGTTATCAAGGGGAAAAAATGTATTTAGAGTAAAATTATCCCCACTGACACTCCCAACATGGGTTATTGTTCAAACAATTAACTAAAGAGTGTATAAAAATTGCATTGTGATATAAATTAAAATTTAGTATTTCAGTTCTGTTTCATTGATGTGATTAGCTATTGGATGAATTCTTTTCAGCATACTCAGACACTGTACAGTTAATAAAGACGAATCACTTTCAGTACGAGTGCTGATTAAAACCTGAACCAGGAACCCGGAAATGGAGAGATGCTGCCAAAGAATGAAAGATGAAAGAAATTTGGTACAGTTTTAAACTCATCATCTCAATTTATGTGTTTCTGACACAGGCGCTTGTTTCATACAGTACTTTAGTTTATTACTGTACAATTGAATTGTACACTGTAAAAAATAAGTGTTTTAAAAATAAACACCAAATTGCCACAGATAATAAACACTTTAACACGTTTAAAATTTAAACACTTCGTGAAGTGTTTAAGAAATAAACACGTAAGAATGTTTAAATTCTAAACACATGAGGTTTAATATTTAAATACTTTCTTCTCAATCTGTTTAAATACTAAACACATCAAAAACACAAAACGTTTAAAGATTAAACGCTGAATAAACACAAGGAGTTTACTAAATAAACACCG